CAAAGGGGGGACAGCCTGCCCTTCAGTCGCATGCCTGCCTGCCATTGTGCACCACGGTGAGGCCAGCCCCACAGTCGGCCCTCTGTGCGGTGGCAGCGGGCCTCCCGCGGGTCCCTCGGACCCTCCAGCACCCTGCTAGGCCCACCGTGATGCGCCTGAGCCACAGGTTTCGGGTGTCGACTCACCTGAGGGAGGGGCTGGCAGGGCAGGTGTGGGGGCGAGCTGGGGAAGTGGCCGGGGCAGAGGGGCACAGGTGCCCTGCTGCCCGCGCTGTGGAGACGTGATCTCAGCCTGCACTCGGACTCCGCTCCGGAGAGGAGGGGCTGTGCCCACCGCCTGCACAGCCCGTTCCCACCCCGGGGGCCCCACTCCGAAGCAGGCGACCGGATTTCGAACGCTGGCTCTTCATTACCTGGTTTGTTTGCTCCCCAGCTAGGTATCCTGCCTGGGCCCCCACTTCTCACCTGTGAAATGGACGTCAGCAGGGGCTCAAGGGGTGGGGGTGGGCCCAGCAGGTGAGAGCAAACCGGGCCTGGCACAGGGCGTCTGGGACCCGCTGGCAGGGGGTGGCAGGAGCCACCCCTCCAGGGTCTCCCACTGGGGCACAGGCACCCCTGGGACACAGTGAGGGGAAGGCCCCCGAGAGCCGAGTTAATAAAGCGCAGGGTTCAAAGTCGCACCCTCAGAGGGCCGGCCCTGCTCTCCCCCCTCCTGGGAGCACGAGGCCCGGGTGGGAGGACTGTGCGGCTTTGGGGCAACAACCCGGCTTGACTTCCCGCCTGCAGGCGAGGCTGAGGGTCCCTCTTGGCGGCTGCAGCACCCCCGCCCGCCCAGGTGCTCCTTCGAATGGGGTCCCCTCTCTCCCCAGCGCCCAACAGTTCCGGGCAGTCACCACGTTCAAGCTGCCACACTGGCGCCACCTACAGGCCCCCCGGGGTGCGTCCTGCTTGTTCCCAGTTCCTCCTGAGGAACTGGGGGTGCGGGTGGGTTCTGAGAATGAGGAAGCCCTTGGTGCAGCTTTTCCAGGAGTGGCCGTCCCCTGGCCAACCTTCCGGGGGTGGGTGGGTCCACCTCTGACGTCCTCCAGCCGCCCTGGGTCACTACCTACCAGTCACTGCCACCCGACAGCTTCCCCTTCCAGAGGGAGCCCTCAGTCTCGGCTAGTGCCCCCCACGCCCCCCGGTACAGGCGGCTGGTCCCTGGCGGGTGAGAGGCCTCTCCATTTATTTATCTACTCTGGGGAGGGGGAGGCAGAGCGAGAGAGCACGGGTTTGCTGCTCCACTTACTCGTGCACTCGTGGTCGATGCTCGCATGTGCCCTGGCTGGGGGTCGAACCCGCAGCCTTCGAGGATCGGGAGATGCCCCAACCGAGCCGCCGGGCTGGGACCACAGCACTGTCGTCAGAGCAATTCCTCTTCCCCGGAAGATCAGGGCTCAACGAATCCACGGGTAGTAAAGGGGCGCGCTCCCGGGGCCGGCACGCCAGCCCGCTGCCCCCGCCCAGGGCCACTGCCCTCGGTGCTGCCCCTCCCTGCCACTGCCAGCGAAGGGCCTCCAGACCACGCCCCGCACCGCCGAGAGTTCAGCACCCAGCGTCCTGTCTTGTGCTCCGCTCCAGCTCTCTCCCTGGCTGCGTGGTCGGCCACGTGGAAGGCTGACCCGGCACCCAGGGTCGAGAGGCCCTGGGTCCCCGCGGCTGGCACCTCTGCTCCCTTGGCGTCCCTTCCCTTTTAGGGCCACAGGCTGAGACCTGGTTGTGTCCCCACCAGAACTGCTCCGTCCCCTCCCCCACCTGAGCCTCCTGTCCCTTTGCGAGCCGGCTGCTGCCCGCCTCCCGAGATGGACTCCTCCTGTCCCCCAGGTTCAGCCGCACCCCTCTCCCCTCTCCCCTCAGCCGCCTGCAGGCCCTCGACCTCGCCCACGGCTGACACGTGGGAGGCCGGGGCCCAGGACCTCGGAGTGCCTGGTAGCAGATGCAGCTCCTTTAAAGGCAAGATTTACTAGTCATTTTACTAAGTTCCAACTTTCGATTGTGTCTGGATTTGGGCACCCGCTGGTTGAATACGAAATGCAGGTCTTTCGTTTATGTGGAGGACAGGTGATTCTGTGCCAGGGGGCGGCCCTCCCTGCTTCAGCGGAACGCGGGCGGGCGAAGGGCTTTGCTCCCAGCTGTTGCTCACCTGTCCAACAGCTTTCCCTCTCGCCGCTCAGGTGGCCCTGCCTCTTGGACAAGGGAAGGGTCTTCCCGCCCACCACACCCAGGGGACGAGGGAGGACTCGCCCACAGAGAGCCGCCGGCCTGTGAGGACTGCCCCCGGCCGTGGTTTACTGGGCCGGCAGGGAGGGCCAGCCGGAGGGCAGGCGTGCTGGGGGCTCGCAGCTTCAAAGGGCGTGTCCTTGGTCGCACAGACCGTCCCTGCAGTAGCTGGCCATTCAGGCAGGGCCTTCCGGCCTCAGCGGTAGCTCCCTTCCGGAGCAGAGCCTCTGGCCGGAGACGCCTGCAGTGACGTGCCACGGGTCGCCCTCAGCCGTGTCCGACGAAACTGGTTTCCGAGACGAAGCAGACTCGCCCGGCCCAAACCCAGCCAGAAGGACCAGGAGGCAAGGCCAAGGGGACCTGGCAGGGCCCGGCGATGAGGAACTCGGACGGTCAGCACCGTGAGGTCGCGGGCCTGTCCCCGCTGCGAGGCCCGGACGCCTCCCCAGCACTGCCGGCCGGGTGGCCCCGGCCTCGCCGCCCAGCGGTCCCCGGAGGGGCACCTCGCTCCTCCCGCCCGCCCGCCCGCACGGGGCGCGCCTCAAAACCTGCGCTGTTTCAGGGGCTCCAGGCTGCGACTTTGGGAGTGACAGGTTCTTGTGTGTCTGGAGTCGGGTTTCTTCAGGACACGACGACGAGAAGCGTCTCCCGCGGGGGTCTCGGCCTCCGCTGAAAAGCCGCGAAAACCACAGCGGCCCGGCAGCCGGGAAGGAGGAGCGCACGACGCACTCCCGCGTCCACCGGGGGCGAGGCAGACGGAGTCTCGAGTAAGCTCTGCTGCGAGTGTTCTCGCTTTAGGTTTCAGAGCCGTGCCGTTGGCCGCCCCGGCAGTGCCCCGCACGCGCGTTTCCAAGTCAGCACACACTTCTCCCGCTGAGAGACCGCGTTCCTCCGTGCGGGTGCAAGCGGTCCTTCGCTCCAGAGACGTCGTCGTCGCTGTGGCGAAGCTCCCATCGTGCCGTGAGGGCCTGACCGCTGCGGCTCCGTAACCACACCCCCCTCTTCGCCGCTGCTGCTGGGCGCGGCCCCCGGGCAGGGCCGGGTTCCCCACTGCCGCGGGAGTAAACACTCGAGGGTGTGAAGGCTCCGCTCCCTTTAGCTTCCACCCACCGGTACCGCTGCTCTCCCAGACTCTCCCCGGAGAGCCGCAGGGCGGCGAGGACACTGGGTGACCGTCAGGGTGGGCTGTCCTGCATCCTCCAAGCGCTCTCTCTCTCTGACCAGAGTGCGCCCAGCAGCGCAGCTGCGGCTCAGACAGAACCACGGAACGAAGGAACACGGAGGTTCTCGTGGTCGGACACGTAGTAACGGCAGACAAATACTAAGACATTTGTTCCTTCTGCGGTGTTAAAAGACCTCCTTAAAACTGACCTGATCCGCGACTCGCCTGTCTGCACTTCTTCCTGCCCAGAACTGACTAGGTGTCCCGGAGCCCAAGGCCCAGCCGCAGCCCTGGCTGGGTGACCTGCGGCATGTCACCGCCCCTCAGCTTCAGTTCCCCCTCTGTACCTGGGCCTGTAGGTCCACCTTGTTTGGTTCTTAGAACTACCTTACCGGGACCCACAACTCCGGCCTCGGGGGCGCCCAGGGAGCCGTGGGGTGCGCCCGAGGGCCCTGGCGGACGCTGCTCCCTGTACGGGTCAGTGGTTTCCCAGGTGGTGTCCCTGAGGAAGACGGTGTCCTGGGCGCTGCCCAGACCAGGAGCGCGCCGGGCCAGTCCGGCCCACACGTCACTGGCCCCCAGGTGACGTCCGCACAAGCGCAGGTTCAAGACCCGACAGCCCAGTAATTTGAGACAGGGTCTTTCTGAACCGCAGGCCCCCTTACCCTGGAGGCCCCACAAACACCCCCGGAGAAGACGAGCGTCCCATCAGGATGGACCCCACCCCCCCACAGTGCCCCCCGAGGCCGCCCAGTGCCTTCCCGCCAGGCCCCCCTCTAGCAGAGAGCACCGGGCAGCCCTGAGGCCCGAGGCTCATCTGATCCTGCCCCACGAAGGAAACACAGGCCCAGGTGCCCCCAGGAGGTGGGGGTCGTCGGGCAGACATCGGCCCCGGGCCGGCCCAACACGGCGCGCTGGAGACACTGAGGGGCAGCAGGGCAGAGAGGCAGCCGGACCCCGGCGACCAGCGGAGAGCCAGGTCGCAGAGTGAGCTCACCTGCTGGCAGGCTTTCCCCTCAGGACATTTTTCAACCCGCGTGTCCAGGGGGCTGGTCACCGCTGTGGCTGGAGACGGGCACCACGCAGCATCGTCTGGTATCGGCCAAACGGGAGGACTGGCAGTTGACTCTGGACTCCCGGAGGAAACCTCCCGGAGGAAACCTCCCGGAGTGTGCACCGCCCCCGCCCCCACTGCGGGGTCCAAGTGGCCCACCTCGGAAGGACGTCAGCTGAAACGCCGTGCCTGACCACGCCCCCAGCCCGTTTTCACAACGACCCCAGTTAGAACGCACACGCCATTGTCTCCCCTTTCCATGGAGAAAGCGGGGGCCCGGAGGTCACCGGGGCAAGTGGGAGGACCCCCGTGTAAAAATATTCACGGACATTGAACATCCAATGGGTGAGCACCTGGACCTGACCCCTCGCTGCTACGGTAACCGAAGGGTCGGCTCCCCAGCTGCTCGGGATGTCTAAGGACGGTGGGCCGGCGGACGAGAGCCCGACCCCACCCACTGTGCACAAGGGTGCCCCGGGGTGGACGGGCACACGGGAGCGGCGGAGGAACACGGAGCAGGCCGGGGTGTCTCACAGGGGCATTTATTCAGCCAGCAAGGAAGCGGAGCTTTTACAACAGAGCGTGCCGCCTCCCCGCCGGACACAGCTCCGACACACAGCCCAGCCACGCTCCAGGCGCTGCGCACTCAGGTCCAGCTGCTTAGTGGTGGCCGTGAGCAGGGGCGGGGCTCGAACCTTTGGAAAGAAGAGAAACACAGAGCCGGCTTAGGGCGGACCGGCAGAGCCGGGTCGCCGTGAGCACCAGCAGGGCACGGAGGGGACGCAGCGCTCACTGGTCTGAGGAAGTTCAGAGAACTGCCTCCCCAGGTTCCAGGGAGCTGAAGGGTCTGTGGGGTTGGTGCACACGTGTGCAGCCCCCCTGCAGGCGAGCACCTAGGGGTGGGGGAGTGGGTGGAGGGGTGGTGGCTGGGAAATGCCGCCTCCCAAAGGCGAGGCGCAGCTCTGGGTGAGCGGGACGCAGATGGCCGGTCTCCCCGTCACTTGGGGAACAAGGTGAAGGGCCGCCCGGTGCCCCCAGGGCACCGCAGCGCCGCCCCGCCACTGCCACCTCGGGCGCCCCACCCGCGGCCTCGCGGCCCGGCCTCCAGCACGCCTGCAAGCAGCGCTCCCCTCGGGCCACGGGGGCGAGCGGTGGTTTCTAACACTCAGGCCACAAGCAGCAGAACCTCATGCGCAAATACCCCATCGCGCCTTCTACTGGGTTGGCCAAAGAGCCTTTAGTTTCTTCCATCAAGTAAGAGACACACTTTTCATTTTCACCAATAACTTTATCGATTTGGATGTTTTGAGTGTGTCGGCTCTCCCCCGCTGTTGGCTTCTAGTGGGGAGAGGCCAGGGGCGCCGCTAAACACCTTCCAAAGCACAGGCAGCCCCACGGCAAGGAATTACTTGGCCAAAATGTCAACAGGACCAAGAAACTCCACAGACTGCTTTTGGCACGTTTGATCAGTCACAATTTTCTCCCTACACTGAAATCATTTTGCGTTTCAGTTGTGTTTTTACCTTTCTTCAAATAATACAGCATCATGTGCTGAAAACGCTGCGTGTCTTCTTCATCTTTAATGTTAAAATGGCTACACGGAAATTCACCAATTCTGGTAAGTTTTTGTTTTTTACTTTTTTTAGAGAGAAGGAGAAAGAGGGAGAGAAACATCAACTGATGCCTCTCGCACGCCCCCCACTGGGGACCCAGCCTGCAACCAGGTGTGCGCCCTGACTGGGAATCGAACCAGCGACCCTTTGGTTTGCAAGCTGGCGCTCAGTCCACGGAGCCACACCAGCCAGGGTGAATTTTTTTTTAAATGCACTCTGATACGACAGCTGTCACAGCACAGTCTGACAAAACTGTTTCAAACGAAGCTGGAGACAGCTGAGCGCCCCTAGAGCCACCGTGTGGAAAGGACGCAGCAGACCTTTGGCCAGCCCGGTGCGCTGACTGAACCTCGAGTGAGAGTCAGTTCAGGGCACTGAGACACCCGGGCGGGATCGGCGCCACGGTGTGTCCCTCCCCACCCACCACCTGAAAAGCAAAAGCCTTACCTTTCAAGGCTTTACTTCTTTTATCTGAAACACAAAGAAAGGAAAACGATCACATTAGCGCCCCATGAAAGGCCCCTGGAACTCCGCGGTGCGTCCCACTGTGGAGGTCGGCCCTGGCCGGGACGCTCATAGCCCGAGCCAGGCTGCTGCAGGAAGCTCCCAGGGAACAGGGCCTCCGCGTCTCCCGGCCCAGAAGTGCAGGTTCTACCACAGACGTTCCGGGAGAGGCTAGACCGTCCGCCCACGCCTGCACGGCCCTCTGCTCCCCCCACAGCCCGAGCTCCCGTGGAGCCATCCAAGTTTCCTCCTTTCTCCCCTCTTTCCGACCAATCGCTTATTCACACAGGACCGGGCCCCACCTCTGCTCCACTGAGAACCAAACGGCTGCCCTGCCGCAGCTTTTACCATGACCACTTCCGACGTTGAGCACAGCTGAGGGGGACAGTCAAACAAACACTGGGCACCGAGACTCCCCCCCCGAGGCTAGCCTGCATCCCTTCGCACTCAGCACAGCTGCTCTGCGGTGGAAACCACCGCTGTCGCACCTGAGAAAAGCCACACTTCCCTGATACCCCGTCTTCCTCAAGCTTCCCCAGCGGCCCCCTAATGTCTCGGGGCTGGCGTGTGTGCCCCCCCCCCATCTTAGCGAGGCCCACCGGCCCGCCGACAGCCACACCCAGCTACGAACCGCCGTCCTCCATGGGGCGCACCGCGACCCCTTCCGAGAGGCACTCTCTTCCTGACCTCCCCGGGTCAGGCAGGGACACTCACCAGCGCTCCTGATTTTGTAAATGATGAAGCTCATCAGCCCCATTCCCACCCAGATCTCCTGGTAAACCTGGGTGTAGTAGGGCTTCATGGGGACCCAGACGTTCTTCACGAGGCTCTGGAACATCTGCAAAGGAACACAGTGACACACATTAACACGGCCGTGGCGTCGCACTGAACCGGCAGGGACGTCCCTCTGTTCATTAGGTTCACCTGATCTCCCCCAGCCGCACAGCAGGGACCCGCCGACACCAGACGTGCCCCCGACACCTGCACCCACGCGGGACCCCTGCTGGTGGCTCTGCGAGGGCCACCCCCCCCCCGACCTTGGCCACCGCAGCACTCACGTCACCTCTCGCTTCTCAAGCCTGCGCCACTGTGCAGTGCCATCGAATGTCCCCCCAGGGCTCCCCCCAACTGACGGTGTGCCCCAGATCGCTTTTACAGCTTTTAGGCCGAGACCTCGCATGTCCGCACCACCCTGCTAAGGACCGCCGGCATGGCATTTACTGCTGGAAAGGAGCGTGGCCAGGGTGTGGGGGGCCAGGGCGTGGGGGTTCCCTGAGGGCCGGATGCACAGGCTCGGTGCAGTGGTTGACTGCACCTCGGTGCGGCTTTGAACTTCGGCCCTGCTGAGGTGTAACTACGTGTAGAAGTGTGGCGTACTGAAGATGTGCATTGTGGTGGGGGCTTCGTACAGGTGCACCCTGGAAAGGGCCTCCCCCGTGTGGCCCATCAACACGCCCACCGCCCCACGGCCATCTTTCGGTGACACAACACAGCACAGGTCGTTGACCACAGCCGCCACGTTTCTCGCGCACCGCAGTCTGCAGGTCTGCCGCCAGATGTGCCGCAGCCCCAGACGGCGAGGCCACGCCCTAAGAGCTGCAATCACCACACAGCTTATTTCGTGAATAGAAATGCTCACCAGTCACTGGATTTGACCAGTGGAAGCCGTCCATCTCTGCACTGACGGTTCACCTTTACTCGTGGGTCTCTGAGCAATGCTTTCCTCACGCTTCTGACTTACTACAAGCTCCAAGTGGTACCCGCCCACCGTCACCTCCGGGAGCTTCACAGCACCCGGTCTCCCGCCTGCAGCCATTCCAGCCGCTGTCAGGAACCCCTGGCCCGCGGCCTTCCCGCGTTGCATGAACCCGCCCCTGTGCTTCCCGGAGAGGCAGCCGCAGCCCCACCCCTTCGGGGGCCCGAGCCCTGCCCTCACCGCTCGTTCCTTCAGCAGCGGGGACCCGAGCCTGCGCTGGGCGGCTGCCTGCACACCGAGACCCCCGGGTCAGCGTGCGCGTGGAGGGTGGGGGGGGTCGGGAAGAAGGCCTGGGGGCCGCCCAGACCCCAGCTCCAGCTCCGCTCTGCCACTCCCCAGCTAAGCTAAGCTGCCTCAGGTTCCGCACCTGTAAACGGGGCCCCAAGCAGTGCCCACCCCAGAGGGCTGGCTGTTAGATGATGGGTTCCTCCGCGCCAGGTGTTCAGTGTCTGGCGTCCTCTGTCGTGCGCTCGTCACGTAAAATGCCACGGCTGCACTGGGGGAGGGAGGCGGGCCAGGCCCCCGAGGGTCTCGGAGGCCGGAGACCAGACCCCAGCTCTCACTCCGAGACCCCACGCGAATGGGCAGCATTCACGCAGCGCTTCCTGCCCTCCGCCTCCTGCACCGCTCCCCATCCTCCAAGGGAGAACTTGGAGCAGGCTGCCGGCCATCACCCACCTGCTCCTCCAGAGCCAGCCCCCGGGCCTGGCCCCCAGCTCTTCCCGGGGGAGCCTGGAGCTCGGCCCTGGCAGGAGGCGGCCCTGTCCTCCTCCGGGAAGCCCTCGCGGTCCCTGACCTCAGATGGAGCCCAGATGCTCGGCCAGCACGAGGCTCCCAGAGACCAACGGCCTGCTGGAGAAGGAGCCTGGCGGGACCCTAGCGGGACCGAGGCCGCCCTGGAAGGGGTGGGGCTTGGAGGCTGGAGTGCGGGCCTCTCCCGCCAGCACCCGGCAGTGCGGGGGCAGGAGGTGCTCCAGGGGACCGAGGGGCCAGGAGCCTGCAACCCTGGGCTGGGCTGGAACCAGGTCTGCCTGCTCTGCTCTCGACCTTGGGCAAGCTCCTGAAGCTGCCCTTCCAGAAGTCTTCCTTTCTGTGAAACGGGGCTGCCTCCTCCTGGACCCCCGGCACCTGGTGGAACTCGGGGAGGTACCAAGCCCAGCCTAGTGCCTGGTGTGGAGCAAGAACTCCATAAACGAGTGGAGCGGTCCTTCACCGAGCTGACGGCAACACATCCGGTTACAACAGGAGGGCGTGCAGGAGGAGCGGCTCTCAGAGAGGAGCGGGTGGAGGGGGCCCTCTGTGCGAGGCCCCGTGCTGATCTGGAGGGTGCAGAGGAGGTGGGTACGAAGGGACCGAAGACACGTGCGCTGTCCTGGCGTTCTGCTCGGGGCCAGGGGCCCGGGCATCGCCCACAGTTATCCTGACTGCTATCCCTACGCTGCAAACACTCACCTTCCCCCGGGACTTCCCTCTGAACCACAGTTCCCACACTGGGCTGGACAAGTGCCGTGTTCTCAACGTCCAATGAAGCGAGGCCCCTCCTTTTCCCGCCCGGGGCCCCTCCGGCCATCCACACCTCCCGGCTCTGCGTGCGGGATGTACAGCACCACGGGCCCATGCTACTCAAAGGTCAGTCGGGCGTCCATCGCGTCTGTTTCAGTCTGCAAAGGCTTTGACACCTTCACAGCAAAACCGCTCTGCGACCTCACTGGAGGGGACGTCTGAGCCCTTGCGCCCCAGGCCGGGGCTCACGGGCCGAGTTCGACCCCGTTTTGGTCCCGTTTCCCCTCCCCCACGGCATACACGCAGTCCCACTTGGAGACAAGTGTGTTGCGGGAACTTCAGAGGCTCGTGGGGAAGGTGCTCGACGCGGGTACGGGGTCTTGCTGGGACTCTGGCTCGTCGCTGGCCGCGGCGTGACCTCGGCGCGGCGGCTCCCCATCAAAGGGGGACGGGGGCGGCCGCCGCCCACTCACCCTGACCCCAGGCCGGGCTTCTCCAGTTCCGGGGGCCGGGGCGGACAAACTTGCGCAGGCAGGGGAGTCCCTGGGCCCCAAGGTCAGCGGGGGTTGAGGTGGGGCTGCCGTAGGGCCGGGGAGGTTCCGATCGCCGCCGGCTCTCTCCGCGGACACACTCAGGCCCGGGCCTCCGCCGGCCACCGTCCCGTCCCCCACCGTCCCGGCTGCCCGCGCCGAGCACCGGCCCCGACTCCCTCACTCACTTCGTCGCAGGACCAACGGCTCAGGTCGCTCCAACCAGCACAGCCAACGATTCGGAAAGGTCACCGAATGCGCAGGCGCCGCGCAAGGGCCTGCCGGGAAGGCGGAAGGAGCGGCGGCTGCCCAAAGCCGGAACACATCCCAGGCCGCGGCGGCGCACCACAGCGCCCCCAGCGGCCGCTCCGATGCTGCAGGCTTGGAGGCGGAGCGCCGAGGGAGGGGCTTGGGTGGAAAAACAGTGACAAACCCTCGGGATTTGTGCCAGACGTGGGACTTCCAGTGCCGACACCGGGAAGGGCCTGGACAAAGCGGACGAGTTTGTCAACCAGAAAAAGGGACCGTCCTTACTCAGCTAAAGCTTGAGAAATTGAGTCCTCCGTCTCTGAGGTTTTCTTGCCATTTCTCTTTGCACTATTAACATCTTTGCTCGGATATTTTCATGCATTTATTCCGTGCCTAGTAATTCTACTCAATAACCAATATAAAACTTTACACAGGGGCTCCAGACACTGGATCCAACACACACAGACTTTAAAAACAACTGTGCCCTGGCTGCTGTGACTCAGTGGATTGAGTGCGGGCCTGTGAACCCAAAGGTTGCTGGTTCGATTCCCAGTCAGGGCACAAGCTTGTGTTGTGGGCCAGGTCCCCAGTAGGGGGCGCATGAGAGGCAACCGCACATTGATGTTTCTCTCTCTTTCTCCCTCCCTTCCCTTCTCTATAAAAATAAATAAATCTTTTAAAAAAGAAAGAAATCTTAAAATAATTGCCAATCTAGAATTCCGTGTGTATGGAAATTGACAGTCAGTGAAGAAGGTGAAATGACATTTCAGACAAACTGGGACTGAGAGAATACTCACTTCTGCATCTGCAAGGAGAAAAATAGAGAAAGAAAGAAGAGCATTCATTACTCAGGCAGGAGGAAAGGAGCTGAGATGGAAGGGTGGAGATGGGGGAGGGAAGATCAACGGACACGGTCCTGCTCCTGAGAGAAAAAAGTTCATAGCCAATTGAAGCTGTATGTGAAACGTGGAAGGCTTGCTTGCCACTGTAGGACGGTGGTTCTCAAAGCGTGGTTTTGGGGTTTCCAAGGCCCCGAGGGGGTCAAAATTATTTTCCTATTAATGGTAAAATGTTAATTGACTTTTCCACTAAAACTTTCCACGAGTGTATGGTGGACTTTTCCAGAGGCCATGTGACTTGTGGTGTCACAAGAGAATGAATACAGAAGCAAGTATGGGAATCCAGCTGTCTTCCAGCAAGGCAGACATTAAGAGATCTTTGATAATTTATTATCTTTTTTAGATTTCATATATGTTTAGAGGGGGAAGGGGTAGAGAAAGAGAAGGAAAGAAACGTTGATGTGTAAGAAACAACCATAGGTTGCCCCCATAGGTTGGGGGTTGCATGCCCCCAAGCAGGGACTGTCCCTTAATCCAGGAATGTCCCTGACTGGGAATCAAACTGGTGACCTTTAGGTTCACAGGCTGGTGCTCAATCCACTGAGCTACAACAGCCAGGGCAAAAAAAATATGTTATTTTAATTTTAAAAATTATTTTTAAAAGATTTAATTCATTTGTTTATTCCACCTATTTTAAAAAAGATTTTATTTATTTACTTTCAGAGAGAGGGGAAGGGAGGGAGAAAGAGAGGGAGAGAAACATCAGCGTGTGGTTGCCTCTCAAACATATCCCCACTGGGGACCCTGCCAGCAACCCAGGCAGGTGCCTGCACTGGGAATTGAACTAGCAACGCTTTGGTTCGCAGGTCAGTACTCAATCTGCTGAGTCACACTAGCCAGGGCAAAATTTTTTAACATATAGTTACTTTTCATAAAAATATTCTCTTTAACATCATATAGTTTTATTATTTTAAAATGAATTAAAAAGTAAAAAAAAAAACAACCTGTAATCCCCAAAAAGGTAGATGTAACACACATAAACAAAAATTCTCCAGGGTCTTCAATTATTTTAAAGAGCACAAAGGGGTCCTGAGATGAGGACCAGGTCTGGGAGCCACTGTCTCAGAATAAGGACGCTTTGGACTTAGAACATTTTAGAAAACTGCTAAGGGCAACAAACATTTAGGCGAAACTTGAAGACCATCATTGTAAGCTATGTCAAAACAAAGCTTTTGAACTTCAAACTAGCTTAAGATCAACAGACATTTAATGTCTTTAGTTGAACATCTAACATAGCCCACGACCTGGAACCATGAAGCTTTGACATCAACAGCGACTGAAATGGCTGTCAATTGTTTTCCCTGTGGGTCTGAAGCTCACCTGCTCCGGGAGTGCAAACACACAAACCTCCAAGGCTGCAGGTCTCCAGCAGCCTGCCCACCTGTCCGGCCTAGCTGTCTGCAAGCCGATTGGGAGCCGTCCAGCTGTCTCTTTTTAACTGAGCTTTAGACGGTAATGCAAGATGAGTGGGGGTATGTGTGGAGCCCCGTGACTTACTACACCACAGGAAGGGAGCTCAAGCCATTCCGTCGGGGAGACACAGAATGCTAACTGGTGTTTAGTCAGGAAAATGGCAACTAAATGAGAAAAAAAAATCTCCAAACTGAAGAATCATCAACACACTGTCTTCAAACTGTAGTTAAAAACTCAAAACTCAAGAGGATGGGAGGATACAGTAATCCAAAAGCATTAAGGACCATAGAAAAAGCCCTCAAGAAAGTGTGTTAAATGAACCCTTTTCAGAAGAAGAGCAACTTCCACTGAAACTCATATTCATTGTGACATTAGCAAAGGACCACAGCCAGTGGGAACCGTGACATACCAGGAAACACAAGCACCAGTGAGTTCTGGAGTTGCTAGCGGTTACAACGTATTTTGTGAAATTTAGAACATGTGCTACCTAAACTTCACATCAAGTATGAAGCTGAAGTATTTTCAAGTCAAGGCTGCAGTATTTGGAATAGTCAGAATACATGGCCCAAAGCTCATCATATTGGGTTGGCCAAAAAGTTCGTGTAGCTTTTTTTTCTATAAAATAAAAGACACATTTTTCATTTTCAGCAATAACTCTATTGATTGGGATATTTTGAGTATGTCAGCTCTCTCCTGTGTGGTAGATTGTTGATCGTTCTCAATTAACATCTCCATTTTATCACTGTCAACTCCAGTTGGTCTACCCAACCACAGAGCATCATCAACCAGCGAGACATCTCCAGCACAAAACTTCACAGATCGCTTTGGACACATTTGATCAGTTGCAGCACCTTCCCCATTCACAACACAATTTTTTTTTTTTGCATTTCAGTTGTATTTTTTTACTCCTCTTGGAATAATCAAGCATAATATGCTGAAAATGTGTATTTTCCTCCATCTTCAATATTAAAAGGGCTACACAAAAAATCACCAATTTTGATAAAATTTTAAAGAATGCATGCTGCCATGACAGCTGTCACAATACAATCTGACAAAATTGTTTTGAATGACGTTAAAGACAACTAAGCGCTACTAGAGCCATCTTACGGGAAAAACCAAACAGACATTTTGGCCAGCCCAATGTAAGTTAGCGGTGAGGCCAGGATTTGGACCTGAGACTCCCAGTTTGGTACCATGCTGGGCTCTTCTTTCTTTGGCGAGACACCAGTAGGCCAAGCCTGCCTGGTTTGACTTATGCCGCTGTTTCTCGAGCTAATCTATTTGAGCATTTTGGGGCATATTCCAGTCCTTAACTGATGGGGCTTTACACTGTTGGTCCTCTTATGGATTCTTTCACGCGGCTCTTTCCTGAGAGCCCCCCACGGTGCCAGATGCTGCACTGGGCACCGACAGTAGTCATTCTTCCAACTCTCCCTGTTGTATTCTTCCTTTGTATATACCTTTGCTGGATTTCCCCTCTGCCTCTCCCTTCAGGCTGTTTCCTAGGGTTCTGTCCTCCCCTTCACTCATCTAGAGTTTGGCCTGGACTATTTCGTTGGCTCTGGGGTTTTAACCACCGTGCATTTGCTGACGATCTCCGAATCTGTGCCTCTCACCACCTGCCTAGCTGTGGGTAGGGCAGTGCACGTTTAGGGAGAAGGAAGATGAATTCAGTTTATCTATGACATAAATTTTACGTTCTGGCCTCAGAGGACTTCTTCCAGATCCTCAACTCAGCCATGAGGTCTGGAGGCAGCCAGCGTCCAGACCTCCGCCCACGTGCCCCTCTCCTATGCTCCCCTCTGAGTCCTCCCTGTTCTGATTCTTCCTTGGGTGTCCCTCAGGCGTCCGCTTGGGTGTCATTGTCTCCAAGAGGCCTTCCCTGACCTCCTTGCTCCTGCTCCTCTCCCCCAAATTAGGTGCAAGGTGTTCCAGTTTTGCAGCCACGACAACACAAGCACAAACCCCTTCCCGGGTTTGCTTTCCGCCTCCGCACCGTGAGCTCCGTCACTGCGGTATCCTGCGGCCCTGCACAGGCCCAGTCGTACAGGCGGTGCTGCATAAAGGCTGTGCAGCAGCCCCCAGAGGGAGAGGGCAGAAACCCAAGGCCACGTCTCACACCTCGCGTCTGCAGACACCTTGCCCACGCCCAGAGAGCGAAGGGACCTCCTACGCTGCGTCTGGGGACCCCAGACCCTCGGCCCAGATCTCTTTGATGGGGCGGGGCGAGCCAAGCTCCCAGCAGGCCTAGCGCACTGCACGAGGCTTCGGGCACTGGCGCGCTCTGATTGGAGGGCCTCTAGTGGGGCGGGGCTGCAGGCGCGTCGACGCAGCGTGGAGTGCCCGCCGACGCCAGGGCCGGCCGACGCCAGTTCCCACCGCTTGGTCCGGCGGTTGAGGCGGCGCCGACCGCAGGCCGCGACCATGCTGCGCAAGCTCACCGTGGACCAGATCAACGACTGGTTCACCATCGGCAAGACCGTGACCGATGTGGAGCTGCTGGGCTCGCCGCCCGTCTTCCCGGCGGAGGCGGCCCGGGACGAGGCCCGGCGCGGTGACGGGGTCCCGGGGGCCCACCCCGCCGCCTCGGCCCCCGCCCAGGCCCAGGGGCCCGCGCGCCAGGCCGCGTCCGGGAGGTAGGAGGCCAGGCGAGGGAGGCTGAGGGTGGGTGCGCGGCCTGGACCCCTGGACTGGGGCCCCGTGGCACTCCCCTGGCCCCCGACGCCCGGGCACGCGAGCTGTCCCGGGATGAGTCCTATCCCGCCACCTAGGCCAGGGTCGCCCCTCCCGGCCGGAAGCGGAGTTCGACCTTGGTTTTTATTAAGAGACTATCGCTTAGAGCCGCTTAGGGTTACCGGAGAATTGAGCGGCGCGTCCCGAGTGCGGTGCCCCGCCCCTCCCCCTCCCTCCCCCTCCCTCCCCCCTCCCTCCCCCTCCCTCCCCCTCCCTCCCCCTCCCTCTCCCCCCTCCCTCCCCCCTCCCTCCCCCCTCCCTCCCCCCTCCCTCCCCTCCCTCCCCTCCCTCCCCCCTCCCTCCCCCCTCCCTCCCCCCTCCTTCCCCCTCCCTCCCCCTCCCTCCCCCCTCCCTCCCCCCTCCCTCCCCCCTGCCCCGGCCCTGCCCCCGCCCCGCCCCCTCCCCCTCCCCCTCCCCCCGCCCCCTGCCCCCGCCCCCGCCCCCTCCCCCCGCTGTGTTTGCTGTAGTTTGTTACAGCTGGCGAACCGGGGTCGACGCGTCATCGGTAACTGAAGTCCGTAGTTCAGATGAGGGCTCACTGCTGGTGTCGGTAGGACGACCTGTGCCCGCCATTGCCCTGAGACTCCTTCTGCTCCGCCTAGGCACCCCCGGCCGCCCCCATCCATCCCAAATAGCTCTGAGCGCAGGTATCCGGCCTTTTCACACCTGGCGGCTTTCACTTGGCGACGGGCGTTGAAGGTTCCTCCGCGGCTGTTCGTGGCCTGATAGCTGTTGGGTTGGCCACAATTCCGTTGCGTTTTTCCGGACAGTGGCTCTGGTAGCGCTCATTTGTCTTTAATTTCATTTGAAACAGTTTTGTTGGACTGTGTTGTGACAGCTGTCACAATCGTCGTGCCTTTAAAAAAACATCAAAACTGGTGAATTTTTTGTGCAACTGTTTTAATATTGAAGATGGAAGAAGACATGCAATATTTTTGGTGCATTATGCTTTATTGTTTCAAGAAAGGTGAAAATGCAACAAGTGCAGAAAAGATTTGCACCGTGTATGGAGAAGGTGCTATGACTGAGCAGACACTTCACAAGTGATTTGTGAATTTTCTTAGTACTGTTGACATTTTGGCCAAGTAATTCCTTGCCGTGGTGTGGGGGAGCTTTGTCCACAGAGCCCCCCGTCCACCACGGATGAGAATAAGTCTACCAAGACATGGCCTGCTTGGGGAGGAAAGGTGGCCAATCTCGCACAGGAGAAGGACTGAGAGCCTTTTCCTCAATGGCTTTTATTGGGTTTGTTTACATAACAATTCAGGTAAAGCTCATTACTCATTGCCAGGAAGTAAGGGTCAAATAACAAAGAACTCTGAGGGCCTATTTTGAGTCAGGGTCAAAGAGCTGTAAGACTTTAAGGAACAAACTTACTTCTTCCTTGGACCCTTATCATTTAGTTGAGAGCTTTCTAAACAAAGCAGGTTTTACAGGACTTTACATGTTCTTTCTTGGGCCTGGTCACCTGGGGAACCCGCCCTTTCCAGCACAGGGTGGCACCACCCTGTCATTGTTTCAGGCTTAAGGTGGAGCAAGGGAAGTAAGGCAGCCAAGAGATTAGGAGATTTTCTCCCAGACGATGAGGACTCAGGCTATGTCAAAGCCGAGGGGCGAGGGTCCATCACCCCCTTTGGCTGCAGCCCCCAAAGTCCTTCCTTGGGGGCCTCCCATGTGATCGTGCCTGTCTTAGGTCGTTACCCCCTTGGGGAATCTTACCCGTCACTGGCTAACCGACCAAGCATTGGGGGCCAGGCAGGGTGAAGTAAAAGGAGCAGAAGCGGTGTTCCTGCCAGGGAGATAAGCTTTTGTCTTCTTGGTGGCTTATGGTCCAAGGTCGTTCCCTCAGCCTTAGCGGGGGTCACAGCTTCTGATACCAGGCAGGGCGGTCCCCAGCACTGTGAAGCTGTCTGTGCTTTGGAAGGTGTTTAGCAGCACCCCTGGCTTCTCCCCTCTAGAAGCCAATAGTGGGAGATACCTAACATGCTCAAAACATCCAAATCGGTAGTTATTGGTGAAAAACGAAAAGTGTGTCTTTTATTCTATGGAAAAAACATAACGGACTTTTGGGCAACCCAGCACTTTTTTCTTTAGGTGCCCGGTAATATTCCGTGTCTGGATCCACCACAGCCTGCTTACCCACCACCTGCTGCGTTTTTGCAGAGGTTCGGAGAGAAGCCCCGCTGAAGGGAGAGGGCGTACCCATGGGAAGTCCAATGCGGCACAGAGACGCACGGCGGCACGGTGCCCCTCTCATTCCTGGTGCCGAGCGCCCCCACCCGGAGGTGGGCCTCGGGACGCCTCCAGTCCCAGCAGCCCCCCTGGGCGGGGGTCACGCGGCAGGTGCCATGTCCCGCGTGCGAGCGCGGGGAGCCTGCCCTCCCTGTTTCTGTCCACGTAGCTGGACACGGTGGGAATCTCATCCCTGTCCGCCCTCCGGGCGCGGTGCCCCGGGCAGGCAGGCTGAGTGGGGCCTCCCATGGCCCCCGGCGCCAGGCCCCCCGGGCGCCCGCTGTCCCCACCCAGGGCGTCCTCCAGAACTTGCCTGAAGAGGTAGACGATTTCCCAGGGCGGCACGTCGTTTTCTGCCAGCGCTTCCCGGAATCTGGGGGGAAAGCAGCAGAGAGTGTGTGGTTCGGAGGTTTCTGTTGCCGTCCCCCGACTCTCCGAAGCGCGGCCTGCGCCGGGCTCCAGCCCTCTGCGTGGGGCGGGGTGTGACGGCCTCTCCCAGCCTGGGAGATGGCAACAGGCGTTTCTGTCTGGCCTCCCGTTGGGGACGTTGGTTGCTGGGGGTGTAGGAATTTGGTGCACACGATTAAAGAGGTTATATGACTGCCCTGGTTGGTGTGGCTCAGTGGACTGAGCACCTGGCCTGTGAACCAAAGGGCTGCTGGTTCGATTCCCAGTCAGGGCACAGGCCTGGGTTGCAGGCCAGACCCACAGGAGGGGGTGTGAGAGGTAACCACACATTGATGCTTCTCTCCACTTCTCCTCTTCCCCTCTCTCTAAAAGTATCCAAAATCTTAAAAAAAAAAAAATAAAGCGTTTATAGGACAGAATGCGTTGTCCAGTCTGCATGGGTGAGGCGCCAGGCCCTGACGGTGCGCACAGCCCGGGGGGGGGGGGGGGTCGGCCTTTACCTGCTGAGGATGGCCCCGGTCTGGCGGGGCTGCACCTGCGAGCAGAGCGCCTCCAGCTGTCCCTGGTCGGCAGCGGGGATGCCTGTGTGGGGGACCCGGTAGTTTCTCAGCCAGCGCCAGTCCACGCCTGCCCTCGTCTCTTGCGGCCCGCCCTCCGTCTCCTGGAGCGCTCGCTCTCGCTCCTCCAGGTGCCACTGCAGCTCCCGGAGCAGCGTCCGCGCCGCCCCCCCTGCGCTGGGGCGGCGGCTGGGTCCGCAGGGGTCATGCTTCGGCCGCTTCGTCCAGCCGAAGAGGGGCATGGCGCCCGTGGAGGACGCCTCGCCCGTGTATTTGCACGCAGCCCTGTGGTTCTGGTGAGCAGGCGTTCGTCCTTCGTGGCCCGTTTGCCGGAAGTGTGGGCGAGGGGGCGAGTCTCGCGCCGGTTAGGTTAGGTGTGCTGCAGGTCAAGGCAGGGCGAGGTCACGGGTTGAAGTCGTTCAGCTTCTAGCTGGCTGGGCACCAAAACCCACCGTCGACAACGCGCTCACGCGGCCAGGCAGGCAGGCAGGAGGGAAGTGTGCAGAGCGGGAGGTGCCCCGCAGACCGGGAGAGCGTTTTCTCGAAGTGGCACTTGCTGTTGCAAGTGACACTTGTATCACGAGTTCTTGCTGCTGAAACACGTTTACCGCATCAGCGTGAAGTGCCACCTGGAGACACACTCTTACTTGGGTTTGTGTGGGAAAGGCCGGAAGCGTACCTGTTAGGCTGGCGGGCCCGCTGTGGCAGCGCTGCCGGACTCCCCCAGTCGGTGGGGGCGCGGCGGCTCGGGCAGGCCGGCTGCCGGGGCGGGGCCCCCTGGTGCCGGGGCGAGCCGCTGGTCTCCCCACCGAAGCGAAGCCGGTTCAGAGCGCACGGCTGGCGTGGGAGGGACGGGGCTGCGGGGTCTGCGGGGGGAGTGCTCGCTCACCGCCTCCCCCGCAGACAGGCCACCATGGGGACCCCCACATGACACACTGGCCGGCCTGCCCTGTGGGGGCAGCGCAGTCGTCTGCAGACAGGCAGCGGCTGCGGCTCGGCCTCTGTGCACCCGGACGCGCCGAGTGTGCGTCTGCGGGTGGTGGTGGGGGGGGTGCAGTGACACAGCTGTGCTCGCCTCGGGAGTACGGGCGCTGGCCGCGCTGCCCCTGTGCGCTGCCCTGCGGGTCTGGACTCCGAAAATAGCCCTGCCGCCCTGCTTCTGCAGCCGGAGCTCCAGGCCGTGCAGGAGCCGGTCGCCGTCCCTCCAGTGAGAGCAGGAGAAGGACGAGCGGCCGGACTGCTGGCAGACGCGAGTTCTGGGGAGGCTCCTTGTCGCCCGGGAGCTGGGCGGGCGGCGGTGTCGGTGTCCTCGGGCCGCCAGGTGAACGTGACACCCTGCTCGTGTTTCTCACCGCCGGCAGCGTGTGTATCGGCGTGGGCTCTGGTCCCGCAGGGCGTCACGTGGGCGTCAGCAGAGAGCGGGGAGGTGTGTGTGATCTCTCCAGGGGCAGGGGGTGGGGCAGCAGTAGGTCGGGGCCTGGAAAGGCCAGGGCTCAGTGTGTGGGATTCGGTGTCGGAAATCGCTGCCTCTGCGGGTGGGCACTGCCGTGCCGGGCTGGCACCGAGCCTCGGAGCGGTGGGCCTGGCACACGCGGCTCCAGGTCACTCGACTGCGCAGTGGCGTCGCCGCCGCCACGCGCTGGTTCTCTCCCGCCCTCTCCCCGCAGTGCGCCGGGAAGGGCAGACGGGGCTCCGGCAGCCCCGCGTGGCGTGCGTGGGGGAGGCAGTGCAGGGTGTGGCCGCCGCGGCCCTGCTGCCCCCCGGGGGGGGGGGGAGCGGCCGACGTCGGGTGGCGTCACCGTCAGCAGGGAGGCTGTCACGCTGCATGGCCTGTAGCTCCGGAAACTCACCCCGACAGGCCCGTCCGGGCGGGCCTGCAGCCATGGAAGGCGGGCACTGCCGCGTCCCCCTCTGAAGGGCCTCGGGGGTTGCTGTGGTGGTCCCCGCTGGCCTCGGGAGGTGGCGTTCCGGAACGTGCTCCGTGTGGAGCACTGAGGACCTCTGCTTGAGGCTCTCTGCAGTCCCGCGCGGCCCCTCGTGTGCGGCCCGGGCGGCCGTTTGTCCCAGCCTGGCCGGCACCCGTGCCCCTCTGTCCCTTCTCCTGCGCCCCCCCCCCAGCTGTGTCCCCTGGGACACTTGCCTCCATCTTCTCCGGGGACCCGCCTCGTGGTGCTCCCCTCCAGGGCCCGGCCCACTGCCTCCTCTCGGCTGAGGGCGTCCCCAGCGTTTCCTTGCCTGTCCCCTCGACTCTGCTCCTTTCTCTGCGCTGTCACCACCCTCCGAGAGTCACGGGTCTGTGCTTCTGTCCTCACCCTGTCTTCCGGTCCTTCCGATGCACTGTCCACCGGGACAGCCGGCCTCCCGGCACGTGTCCCCGGTCTATGCTGAGGCCTGCATGCTGGTGAGGGCGGGGGCGCAGCAGGGCCAGCGCCTGCGCAGGGCCGCCCGGCCAGGGCGTCAGCATCTGCAGCCGTCCGGCCCTTGAGCCCCCCGCCCCGCCCGTCAGGCGTGGGGTCGGTGGGCTCTCTGGGCCAGGGCGCCTGCTGGTCAGGGGCCGCCGTGCGGCGCGCTCCGTGCGGGCCGTCTCCCTCCTTCCCTCGGCCTGCGCACCTGGGGCTGCCCCATTCTGCGCACTCGGGGCCCCCGCCCCGCTCCTGAGGCGCAGTGCCCGTGCTGAGGGGGTGCAGGCCACGGCCACGGGCGGCGACCTCACGTCTGGTCGCTGGTGCCTGCCTCTCGGTCCCCTGGCCGGCCTGCCGTGTGCACTCCCCGAGCCCTCCGAGAGCCGCTGGCAGTCTGCCCCGGGCCACACCTCGCTCTGTGGGCTCACGGGTGAGTGCGTGCCTGGGCTTGCCGGACCTGGAACCTCGCGGTCAGCCTCGACCCTCTCCCTGCTTTTCCCGCCCAGGTCTGAGCGCCCACGCAGTCTGTGGGCGCCACCGCGCCGCTGCCACGCTCCCCCACGCCGCCTGGGCCTCCCTGTCATTAACACCCTGGAGGCGGTCTCCCCGCCTCCGCGGTTGGTGCCCTGTCACCCCACCCTCGCCAGTCGGAGCCGTCGGTCACCACGGGAGCCAGACTGGCCCCACTCTGCCCGACCCTCTCGCTGTGCGCACAGGCCGCCGTCTGGACTGTTGGTCCCTGGGTCCCTGCCTGGGTCTGGCCCCCCGTCCACCTTCAGGCCCCCCCGCTGCCGGCACCAGGGCGGGCGTTGCAGAGGGGGCACCAGACCCGTGTCCCGCCCTTCCCTGTGAGTGGGGGGCTACTTATTTCTGCAAGTTCGAAGGATGAAACGTTGGTTTCTCATTATTGCAGTTTGCAGCTACTTGGTAAAGGACTGGACTTGAGTGAATATTTATTTATTTACTGACCATTTGCCTTTCTTCTATGGCTTAATGTAAGAGTGGTCAAGAGTTCCTCCAGCACAGCGATTTTCCACCTTTTCTGTCTCATGGCACATACAAACTGATTACTGAAATTCTGTGGCGTTCCAGAAAATGTATGTTTTGCTGATCTGACAAAAAAGAGGTATACCTTTGGTTCATTTCACACTGGACAGCCATTGTCGTGTTGGCTGTTGTCATTTTTTAACTTGACATCTAAGGGGAAAGAGGTCGGCGCCCCCGACTGCACAGCCAGGTGTCACATGCCCTCAGGATGCCTGCAGCGCACCTGCTGAAAACCACCGCTCAGCCCCGGCCGGGCGGCCCGGGTGGTCAGAGCGGCGGCCCCGGGCTCCGGGTGCGGGGCTCGGCCCGGTCGGGGCGGCTGCAGGAGGCGGCCGTGGAGCACGGTCAGGACGTGGGGCGGCGGATCCGTGTGTGTCTCCACCCACCCCCTCCCAAGTCCATCGGTGAGAGCACTGAGCAGTCTTCGCTGTGGCACGGGCCGCCCCGCGTTGGGGAGCGCCGTGCTGACTCTCGCTGTCCTCCTCCGCAGGCCCGCCAGCCAGAAGTCCGCGGAGCTGGACTACATCAGCTGGTACCGGCAGCTGGAGGCGCAGGAGTCGGGCGGGCGCGGTGCAGACCTCCCCAGCGGCCGGCCAGGTAGCTCGGGGTCAGCGTGCACGGGGTCAGCTCCTGCGGGGCGGGCCTGGGGAGCGGTGCGCACGTCCGGATGCCCCTTCTTTCCTCCCGGACTGGGTGTATCGGGGTGCATCGGCCTACACAGTCACGTGGGTTTCGGGTGGACGGTCTCTCACGCGTCCCCTGGGTTCTGTTTTGTGTGCTCCCCACCCCGGTCTGGTCTCCCGAAATGTTACAGTCTTAAAGGCCTGAGAGATGTAGCGTTCGGTCGGTAAAGAGTTCATACTGCTTGTTAATTTGGGGTTCCGGGGGGCTAAATGGATTATTTCTTTTCTCTTTAAATGTAGCTCCTAAAATGGATGAATTTATTTTCTTTTTAAAAATATAATTCTTAAATAGTCTCTTCTTTGGAAGACTAACAATGGTCTTGTTAATTAGGAGTTTATTTAAAGATCACACTACAGTTTTTAGCCCTGGCTGGTGTGGCTCAGTGGGTTCAGTGCGGCCCACCAACCCAAGGGTCACCAGTTCGATTCCCAGTCAGAGCCCCTGCCTGGGTTGTGGGCCAGGGCCTCGGTGGGGGCGCACATCGATGTTTCGCTCCCTCTTTTTAGCCCTGCCTTCCACGCTAAGAATAAATAAATAGATTTTTTAAAAATAAAAGTTATTAGCCCTGGCTGGCGTAGCTCAGTGGATTGAGCGAGGGCTGCGAACCAAAGTGTCGCAGGTTCGATTCCCAGTCAGGGCACATGCCTGGGTTGCAGGCCATGACCCCCAGCAACCACACATTGATGTCTGTCTGTCTGTCTCTCTCTCTCATTTCCCTCCCTTCTCTCTAAAAATAAATAAATAAAATCTTAAAAAAAATAAAAAAAGTTATTACAGTTTTTTTAAAAATAAAATTTTAGGCAATATGTAAATATATAAAATAAAAGGTAGAAGGTCCTTTTTTACCCCCACCCACAGTGTATAGTTGCTCAGTTTGGATGGAACTACTTCCTGTGAGTATGCAGTTTCTTTTTCTGACCTCATTATATCTCTTTTGAAAAAAACATTTCACTTATTTATTTCTAGAGAGAGAGGAGAAAGGAGGGAGCAAGAGGGAGAGGAACATCGACCAGCTGCCTCCTGAACGCCCCCAACTGGGGCACCTGGCCCACAACCCAGGCACGTGCCCCGACTGGGGATCGAACCGGTGGCCGTCCAGTCCGCAGGCTGGCAGGCAGTCCCCGGAGCCGCAGCAGCCAGGGCTGAGCCTGCTGTCTGCATCGGGCCGGTCCGTGTGCTTGCTGGAAGTCAGCCTGGCGCCTCCTCGCTGTCCCCTCAGCCCTCGGCCTTGTCAGGCGGTGCCCGTGTGGTTTGTCCCGCGTCTCTGGGGGCCCTGGAGGGGGGCGAGGTTCTGGCGGGCCCCGTCAGCGGCGCCCCGGAAACGCCAGCCCGCCCTGTGTGGTGCGGACAGGGAGGGCTGCGGTTCGGTCAGCACGGTTAGGGCCTCCGGCTTGTCTCAGTGGACTGTCTGCTTTAAGCCGCAGCCCTCGCGGTGCCTGCGGCCAGGGAGCCAGCCGCTCTGAGCTGTCAGAGGAGCCGGGCCATGGACCCCGGCTTGGAGTCGCAGCGGGAGCACCGCTGCCGACTCTGTCTTTCTGAGTGTCTGGGCCCGCGGCTCTCCCCTCGGAGCAGCCGCTCCCTGAGCCACCCGTCCCCTCGCCTGTCCCTCCGTCGTCCAGCAGAGCCCTCCCCTCCGGGTGCCCCCGCTCACGGGGCCCTCCGAGCTCTCCTCCTCCCGTGGGGTGTGTGGAGGGCCTGCTGCGGGCGGAGACGCCTCCAGCACCAGGACCGGTGTGGGGGGGGGGGCGTGTGTCTGCTCTTCCTCCGCGGTGTGAACAAGCACCTCCTCTGTTCTCGGATCCTGGGCTGGCCCGGACACCCAGCCTCTGTGCAGAGCTCCCCAGGGTGCAGGGACACGCTGGGGCCCTTCGAGCGTCAGCACCTGTTCACCTGTGGGGTGTTGCTCACACTCAGGGTTTCGAAGGCGGAGGAGCGGTTACTGTGAAGGGTGTTTCCGTGAGTGTGCTCTTGGAGGGCCGTGGGGCTGCGTCCTGGAGGTGGCGAGCAGGAGCGAAGGCGGGAGAGGAGTGACCACGGGGGGAAGTGCTGGCCAAGCAGCAGGCTGCCCGGGGCAGTTTGCACACGGAGCACCTGGGACCAGTGGTCTGGTGCCCCAGGGGCACTTAGCCGCAGAGAAGCTGCTTCTGCGCAGAGAGATGGGAACAGGTCTGGCTCTCCTCTTTGTAAAGCTCAGAACCACTACGGCGACCCTGACTCAAACATGGGCAGAGAGCCCCTGGTCAGTTACTTGTCGTTAGACCAGTCAGCACGCTGCAGATGCGGGGGGGGGGCAGGGGGGCGAGCATGGAGAGCAGAGCAGAGCTTGGGCGCAAGCGTGTGCCAGGCAGCAGGGGGCGACGGCGAGGCAGAGGGAGGCGGCGGGTGGGGGGGGGGAGAAGGGCTGGAGGAAAGGACGGGGGTGGGGGGTGGGGGGGCACCAGGGGCAGGCGTCGGGGGAAGTGGCGGAGCCTGGGCCTGAACTTGGGGGAGAGGGAGGCGGGCAGGCTGACGGGGAAGGAAAGCCAGCCGTCCCCAGTGACAGGCCGTACGCCCGAGTGGGAGTGCGTCGCCAGCCTGCCCGGTGGTGTGCAGAGGTCCAGTGTGACGGGAGGGACCTCAGGCTGGTGGCGAGCCGGTGAGCCGGGCCGAGTGCTGCCGTGAGTGTCCATCAGGGTGCGGCCGCCTGCTGCCGGTTGGTTGTGGGAGCGAGGAGTGAGCAGGGCCCTGAACAGAACGGTCTGGGATGCTGGTTCTTTAAGCTCACTCTCCGAGCACCACCTCCGAGTGGCGGGAGCTCCGCTTCCCAGGTCTGGTCTTGGCAGGTGGTGCTGCGCCTGCAGCATCGAGGGTGGGGGTGGGGGGGTGATGGAGGGGGGGGTGCGCCCGCCAGCAGGAATGGTGGACGGCGGGCCCAGGGCCCTGGCCAGACCACCCTGCCCTCAGGGACAGCCCATGGAATGAGCGTTGGGTGTCCGTGTGCACCACTGTGCAGGGGGCGTGTGCGTGGATGAGAAGGGACACTGGGTCGGTGGCCTCGTCTCTCGGAGGAGAAGCAGCCCTGTTTTCGCTCGGTCTGTCTGAACCCAGGTCCGAGGCCAGCGCCGGCCAGAGTGAGCAGTGCCCCGTGCATCCCACAGACGACCTACAGGTACCCCGATCTGCCCATAAACCGCTGCAAGGAGGAGGTAAGGCCGTGTCCTGGTGCAGGCCCGCTGTCCTAGCCGCTGCCGAGCCCTGGTGCTCGTGGCTGAGAGTCCAGGTGCTGCGCAGGCGCCCTGGGCCCCGCACAGCTTTGGCCACAGCGCAGGGGTACGGGCGGGAGGCGTCTGGTGTGGTCCGCACGTCAGCGGCTTCCTCTGGCTGCGCTTGGCTCCTTCCGCCTCCGAGCCGGCCACCTGGCATTGGGTTTGCTGTCGAGCCCTCGGCCCCCACCCCGCCCCCCAAGGAGCTCTGGGCAAACCCTGCTCCCCAGGGGGCGTCTTCCTGGAGGAGCCTCACTGCCCGTCTTTCTGTGGTGCAAGTGCACGCCTGCCTCCTGGTGGGCCGCCCGCCAGGGAGTGTCGCTGAGCGGGACCGGGCCAGACCCCGCCGCGCGCACCTGCACCCACCTGCACCCCCAGCCGCTCTTCAGGTCCCTTGGGCGCCCTCGAGCGCGGCTGGGGTCCCTTGAGCTGCTGGAGAAGCGGTCGCGGTGAACCCGCACGCTCCGCGCTTGATTTTTCTTCCGCTCTAGCGCACAGGCGGCAGACACAGGGCCCGTGGCCGAATCCGGCCCTCCACCCTGTTTTATCTGGCTCAGCACCTCGTTTCTACCTGGTGGCAGCACCTGGTTGAGGATAGTTATGTTTATACAGCGTTAAAATTACATTTGGGCGTTTGAAGGCAGCCGTGAGGCTGCCGAGGCCCCCAGTGGAAATGAGGTGGACGCCCCTGCCCTCGCTGGACTCGTGAGGCGTGGTGGCCTGGGAGAGCAGGTGCCCTTCCCTGGTGGCGGAGGCGGCACTAGCTGAGGGCGCCCCGAGGGCAGCCGGGCGGTGCGGAGAGCCCCCAGGGGTCCAGGCTGAGGGCAGGGTGCTGGTGGGCGGTGCGTGGGGCTGTCCAGACATGTCTGAAGAGTGTCCAGTGGGTTCTAGAGCCACTTGAGTGTAGTGAGTGACAGCTGTTTTCGTGGTTTTCTCACTAGGATTTCGTTTTTCTCAGTGGAATTACTTGAAAACTTTAAAATAACGGAACTTGAGACTCAGTGAGGGCTGTGGAGAGCCCAGCCCGCGCCTGTTTCTGTGGGGACTTGGGGACGCGGAGGGCAGCCGGCCCCGCCCCCACAGCACGCCTGTCAGCACCCGCGGGCCGTGCTGCGCCCAGTGTGGCAGGTGGGGGGGCGGGCAGGCGGCCCCTCGCTCTCGCGGCGGTGCTCAGAGGGTGACCGTCGGGCTCGTGAAGGTGGAAGGGACACAGAAGTGGGTCCTGGGAGTCTTCTCGCGCCGGCGCCTTGGGTCCGTGGGTGACTGGGCATCACTGTCGATGGTGCGGCAGGTCTGAAAGGCGGTTTCCCAACCCTAGGTCGTGTCTCTGATAGAGAGCAACTCTGTGGTCATCATCCATGGTGCCACGGGCAGCGGCAAGAGCACGCAGCTGCCGCAGTACATCCTGGACCACTGCGCCCGGCGCGGGGCCCACTGCCGCATTGCCGTCACCCAGCCGCGCAAGATCGGCGCCAGCAGCGTGGCCCGGTGGATCAGCAGGGAGCGCGCCTGGGCCCTGGGCGGCCTGGTGGGCTACCAGGTGAGCTCGGCCGGGGACGAGGCGGTCGGGCGTCGTGGATGTGGTTCCTTCTGCTGGAAATGGCTCCGCTTATAGAGCAGAACTGGGGCAAAGGGTGTTGGACCGTGTGTTTGCGTGTTGTTTTACCCACCTGAGGACATTTTCCACGGCTTTTTGGAGAGGAAGGGAGAGAGAGAAGCATCCACGTGAGAGGGAGAAGGGCTGGTTGGTTGCCTCTGGCGCCTGCCCAACCGGACGTGGCACGTGCCCTAGGCGGGGACCGAACCTGTGACCTCTCCGGGACGGGAAGACGCCCCAGCCGGCCGGGACGGCACGTGGGCACGACTCAAACACAGTGAGAGGCAGGGTTTCCTGAAAGTAGCTCCAGCCCTGGCCGGTGGGGCTCAGTGGACTGAGTGCGGCCTGCAGACAGAGGTCGCCGGTTTGACGCCTGGACAGGCGCGTGCCTGGGCTGCCGGCCAGCCCCGCAGTCGGGGGCGTGCGAGAGGCGACCAGCCGATGTATCTCACGCACTGAAGTCTCCCTCTCTTTTCCCTCCCTCCCTCCCTCCCTCCCTTCCTTTCTCTCTAAAAGGAAATAAATGAATTCTTAAAAAACATAGAAAAAGAAAATAGCTTTAAATTCCTTTCCAGTTGAGAATTCTCAGATTTATGGTCTTTATTTCAGCCCTTTAATTAGACTTTGCACGTAGATGTCTTTGCACGGAATTGTCTCACTGTGAAAATGAGGGGGGCAGTGTGACTAGAGGAGCCAGACCCCTCCCACCCAAAAGGGGAAACTGACCGAACCGGAGCCTCGGCCTGACCGCCGTCTTCTTTGTGACCTGCACTGTGCTCCTCGGTTCTCTCCACCCCCACCCAAGGAAGTGGGCGTGGCCCTGTGGGGGTTAAAGAGGCGCAGCCGGGAGCCCTGAAACCGCCCCCCCCTCCCCGAGCTGCAGGTGGGCCTGGAGAAGATCGCCACGGAGGACACCAGGCTGGTCTACATGACGACCGGCGTCCTGCTGCAGAAGGTCGTCAGCGCCAAGAGCCTGGCGGAGTTCACCCACATCTTCATTGACGAGGTGGGGCCCGGCCCCATGCTCGGGTTCACCCCTGCGCCTTCCCGAGGCCAGCGCAGGGTGGGGGCCTCGGGTCGGGGGGGAGGAGCTGGCTTGCGTGAGGTCGGAAGTCGGGGGTGTGGGGTCCCGGCGCCTAATCGCTGAGGAGCGTCTGCCTCTCTCTGCCGCGTGTGACACCGGGGGTCCGTGTCGAGGGTCTGCTCTGCGTGGGGGAGAGCGGAGTCTCCCTCCTCCCCACTCCCCCGCTTCCACGGGACTCGGGGAGGCGGTGGGGCCCGAAGGACGGCCCTGGACTCGGTCACCGGGCCGGCCACGCCAGGAGAAGAGACCACCCGCTTCCACACGCAGCAGCTCATCGCTCCACTCGGGCAGAAAAGGGTCCCCTCGTGGGCCCAGGTGTCCTGGCTGACAGGAGGACAGACCCGCGTCCCAGCCCTCCCCGTCAGCTGGCCCTGGGGTGGGTGGGCAGGGTGGCCGGAGGGGCCGGGTGGCCCCCGGCCCCGGGGTTGGCTCAGTCTGGAGGGCCCGTGTGAGGAAGGCCACAGGGCACCCGCGGACCCCGAGTGCTCTTCAGCTCCCCTGACCAAGCCGGCTCCTGGGCTGGCCCCCCCCCCCCCCGGACCTGCAGCCTCCGAGGCCTGGAGCTCGCCTGGCCAGGCAGGGCCCTGCTGCCTGGCCCAGCCTGCGCCCTGCACTCGCTCTGGGAAGCAGCAGGGGGCCTCGAGGCCTGCAGAGGAGTGGTGCTGGTTGGCGGTGCTGGTCGGCCGTGCTCTGTGCTGGGGACGGGAGGGGCGGGTTTGGTTGTCACGGCGCCTGGGGCACTGTTGGCGTTGAGTGGGCAGGGCCGACGGTGCTAAACATCACTCTCCCCGAATGCCGGTAGGGCCCCAGGCAGAAGGGCTGGGGGACAGGGACCCCCAGGGCCTCTTTTGGGCCCTCTGGTTTGTGGGTCCACGGCCTCCACTTCCTCTCGGCCAGGACCACCACCAGGAGCAACCCCGGTCCCCAAGGGAGCCGTCAGCAGGGACGGCCGACCCTCCGCCGACACCCCCGTCCCATGGTCCCGCGGCGGCCTGCGTGCGTGCTGCTCGGGGTCACGAGGCCACCCCCTTCCCCCTCTGCAGGTGCACGAGCGGACTGAGGAGATGGACTTCCTGCTGCTGGTCGTCCGCAAACTGCTGAGAACGAACTCACGTTTCGTGAAGGTGAGTCTGATTTCAAGAGGGAGGAAGTGTGCAGGGCTGGGGCTCGCTGTTCGGTCCTGTTCCTCCTCGCTGCAGCACGGACCGCAGCTCTGAGGGCTCACGGCCGTGGGGAGCACTGCAGGCGGGCGGAGCTGGGGCGCGGCCTCACGGTGGCACCGCCGCCGCGGGGGGGTGTCCCTCGGGGCCGCTCCGACCCCCCAGGGGCTGCTCCGAGCCTTCTTCTGCCTTGAGACGTGTCGTCTCCGAGCGAGTCCTGGCCACTGTGGTTTTCACCTGTGGTGCCGAGCTTTGTGTCCGTACTGACGATGCCCGCGTGTCCCTTTCCACGGAGACCGACACGGCCGGACCCCAGCTGCCGGGCGCAGAGGCTGGGCAGCCGCCAGCAGGTCGCTGCTCTCACCCTTGCCGGGCGTTCGGAGACCGGGGAGTCCTGCGGACCCTGCGCGGTGGGCTGCAGGACCCCCGGGACGTCGCCGTCACCACCCCACGCTTGCTTTCGGCCATGCTGAGCCCCGCAGCCCGCGGGTCTGGGTGGACTCCCCTCGGCCGCCGCGCTCCTGTCCCCCCCTCGCGGCTTCACTCTCGCCCGTGCTGTCCCGCGCTGGTCTCCGACACAGAGTCTCCTGTGGAGAGCGGGTGGGAGTCACGTGGGAGTCACGTGAGCAGCCCCCGCCCCGGGGAAGCCGGAAGTGGCACGAGCTTGTGTCTCGGAGTGCCCTCGGAGCTGCAGGCCCCTGCGCCCCCCGGGGGCTCGCAGCGGGGTCTCACTCGCAGCGGGGGGCTTGCTTGCGGGGTTCCGCTGGACTCGCCGAGTGCCTGCGGCAGACGGAAAGCCCGGAGCCCGCCGAGCGGGCCACCCCCGCCCTCACCCTCCGACCCTCGGCCTCCGACCCTCGGCCTCTCTGCAGGTCATCCTGATGTCGGCCACCATCAACTGCAGGGAGTTCGCCGACTACTTCGCCGTGCCTGTGCAGAACCAGCTGAGCCCGGCCTGCGTGTTCGAGGTGCCCGGGCAGCCGCACGCCATCGAGGAGCACTACCTGGACGACCTGGAGCACGTGCCTCACGGCAGGGTAGGCGGGGCCCGGCTCTCCCCAGGCCGCCCGGGCCAGGCTCCAGGGGCGCGGGCGTGGTCGTGCTGGGCGCCGCCACCTGCCCGGGGGGGGCACCTCGCTTCAGGGGCACCTGTGAGGGTGAGGTGGCGTTGGCGCTGCCGTGGGCAGTGCAGGGCTGACGGGGCTTCGCCTCCCATGGGAGTGTGGGAGGGGGACCCCAAAACTAGAACTGACTCCTGGAGGGCGGGCCCTTGTTGTCCAGCCCGCCCCCCAGGCAGGGGCGTGTCTCGAGAACCCGTCTGTGTGGGCGCCCGACTGTCTGGGCGCCCCAGCGGGCGTTGCCGTGGGAGGCTGTGCTCAGCCTCCGTGGGTTTTTGGAAAGACTTCCCGTGCACCTGCTAGTTGCCCGGCGGGTGGTTCACGAGTGCACCCGCCCACACCCGAGGGTTCCTCAGTCTGACCGAACTCGGCAGGACCCCTGTGCCCACCTCCCGACTCCCCTGACCTGGCCCCGAGCGGCCTGTGTCCCCCTGGAGGAAGACAGTCCTCGGGGGGGGGGGGGGCGGGGACGGTCGGCCGACGAGGAAGGGGGCCGCTGAGACGGAAACCACCCAGAGTGCCGAGAGGCGCCCGGGCCGGCGGCGGTTCCAGAAGGTGGTGTGCGCCGTGGGAGAGCGTCTCGGTGGGTGGGTGCGCTGCGTCAGACGGGGGGTTCTTGGGGGGGGGGGCTGAAGTCTAAACACACGAGGATGAGTGCACAGGTTTTTACGAACAAACTCCATTCTTGGGGTCCCCCTGGTATTTTGCCACACTGTGTCGGAGGAAAGCCAGTGATGACCCTAAAAACGTCGTGGTTTTCCATGTTGAAAAGATGGGCGTCCAGAACAACAGTGGAGTCGGGAGAACCCCACGGGCGGGCTTTTCGTACGCGTCCCCGGGCCCTGCAGCGCCATCTGCACGCGCCGCGCCCGGGCGTGGCCAGTCCCCGCGCCTCGCTGCGTCGGGCGCCCTGGGTCCCCTGATGCCGGGCCCCCCGTCCCAGGGCCTCACAGGCCAGGGGCGTCTGGGGGGCGGGCTTGCTCCGAAACCCCTCACTTCGGGTGGCAGCGAGGGCTCCAGTGGGGCTGCCCGCGTGTCCTCGGGACGGCAGGACGTGCTCTGTGGGGACCAGCCGGGCGGCGGGTTCGGGGAGGAACCGCAGGGGGCAGGTGCCGCGTGGTCCCTCCACTCCCCAGCTGGGCTCCTCGCGGGCACCGTCGGCCTTGACCCCCTCCCCCTCCTGTTTTGTCTGTCAGGCTTCTCCCCCACGGTGACTGTGGTCAGCTCGCCTGGCTGGGGACCGTCTCGGGAGGGACACGTCTGCCCCTTCCTGACCGCCCCCCGTGGAAACCAGTCAGTAGCGCACTGCTTCCTGGGGGGGTACCGGGCAGGGTGCGTTGTCTGACCCCCGGGATGAGAGCGTGGGGAGGGTCTCGCCAGCCCCCGTCGAGGACCTGCGCCTGCCGAGTGCGTGCGGCCGCTGTGGGCGTGCGCGGGGTCGGTCCGGCCCGGGGGCTGGCCTAGGCCGGGGACCACATCCTCTCGTCGGTGCCCGCCAGGCGCTCAGTACCCTTAGCCACGTGCTAGTTTGGAGCCTTCCGGAAACCGCGCGGCGTGCATTCTGTGACCCCGAGTTCCCGGGGTCGGCGGGTCTCCGAGGCCCCCGCTCTGTGGCGGCCCCTGCCCCCGTCTCTGTGCCCCGGCGCGCTGCCCGCTGCTGCCGCCAGGACGTGCGCCCCGCCCTCTGGACCCGGGCCTTTCCGCTGTCTCACCTGCCGGCCCCCCCTTAACTGGGCTTGTTTCAAAAATACTGATGGAATGAAAGTCCACTTTTCACCCTTATGTTAGTTGAACTGCGGTACAAACGACAGGTGGGTTATTTGACTGTTAATGGTCTTGACGCGTATGTAAAAGTTGAATAAAGTTTGCGTCCGTGGCCCCTTCCAGCCCCCTGAAGGGCTCTCCTGAGTGGCCTTGGCAAGCGCAGACGCGGCATCTCACACACGGGCCGCGGCGTGAGCTGGGGGTGGTTTTCTGGGGCTGGCGGGGAAACTCAGACCGTGAGGCCGTCGTCCGGGGCCTGCGTGCCGGGGCGCTGTCCACATCGCTGTCGCGGGGGCGGGGCCGCCACTGTGTCCTGAGAGGTGCCCGCGGGAGCCAGCCGTGACCGGGGCTCGGTCCGAAGGGGTCCCGTGACAGGGACCCCCAGCCGGGGCGGCGCGCAGCGGTGCTGTCGCTGTGGGCTGGCAGGCACCGGGGGGCTGTGTCCTTTTCCCGGAGCTGTGGCTCCGAAGGACCCCTTCCCCTGCGGGGCGGGGTCGGCGTCTGGGGGCTCCTGGAGGTGGGGGTTTCTCAGACGGCAGCCCCTGACTGGGGTCGTGGACCCCCACCCCCACCCCCGGCTGGGTCCACAGGTGTTTGGGCCCTTCCTCTGGGTCTCCACAGTAGGTTTCCTGCCTGTCGGACACGTCACCCTGCCAGACCCGGGCCTGGACCCTCACCCGACCCTTGCTCTCGGGACGGGGTGGCCCCGGTGCCTTCCGTGCGAGCTGGCGCTCGCACCATGCGTGACGCTGAGCCAGTGCTCAGGTGCGGCTGCTCCTGTTTCAGCTGACCCCGCACGTCCTGGAGGAGCCGGTGGTCACCAAGGACATGTACGAAGTGGCCGTCTCCCTGATCCAGACGTTCGACGACGTGGACGTGAGGGAGAGCGGGTACGACACACCCGCCGGCCGCGTGCCGGGGCGCCTCGCCTCCGCGCCGTCCGTGTCTCCGTGACGCTTTGACGGCGGAGACTTCTTCAGCAGTCGCACTGCACGTCCGAAAATAAGTCAGGGTCTCGCAGGGTTTTCTCGGGAAATTTCCGCTTCGAAGGGGTTGAAACCGTGCCGAGGACGGTTTCGGGCCAGTGTTGAGAGCGCGGAGACACAGCCCGAGGGCGCGCTGCCCTGCGGCCCCGGGGACGGCTGTCCTCCCCGCCCCCCAGCTCCTGGGGCTGTGCAGAGGTCCCCGCGCTCGGCTGGCCCTTCGGAACAGGCCTCGGTCGTGAGCGGGGGTCAGTCCGCGGTCACCACTTAGAAACGACCTCCCCCAGGGAGGCGTGTGTGGGTCCTCGAGAGGGGAAGGGAGTTAGGCGGGGAACCACTGGCGGCCCCCTGTGCACGCCCTGACCAGGGATCAGACCCACAGACACCCCCCCCACCCCCCCCACCCCCATTTCTCCCAGGAGCAAGACCAGGCCGGGCGCCCAGGCGGTCTGGGAGCGGAGCAGCGTGCTGGTGTTCCTGCCAGGTGAGTGCCACCCGTGGGACCCGGCCCGTGCGGGGGCACGCCGGGTGCTCTCAGACCCTGAGGACGTGAGCGCGGGGGCTGTCCCCGACCTGTGACTGGGGCCTTCCTGCTGCTGGGACGGTGGGCAGCAGAGGGCTTCGTGTGTAAAAGTGGTCTGACCCCATCAGGGTTTCCTCTGAAACACTTGAGTTTGTTGAATTTGGTTTGTGACACGTGTGTGGTGATGTGATTGTCATCGGCCTGTGTGTAAAGCTTGTTCGGTAACAGTGAACGTTGTGAGGTCACGGTGTTGCTGTGAGACCACGCGAGTCCTCAGGCTGGTCCCGGGGTCCCTTTCTCAGTGTTTGAGGAGACAGGCTCCTACAGCGCCCGGAGGAGGGGCTTGGTGTGCCTGTCCTTTTTCAGAGGGGTGTTCCCAATGTCTGAGGGGGGTGGAACGGCTCGGTGACAGGCGGTGACAGCCGCGCAGGCGTTTTTGCCGCGGAAGGTGCTCCGTCCAGCAGGGGAGTCTCCGTGGGTGGCCACCCTTGCTCTGGCTGCAGTGGGCGGGCGTCGCACCCAGGAGACCCCGCAGCCGGCAGCGGGGTGGAGTCACATTTGCCCCAAGAAGCGTTCACCGAAAACGTGTGTGTGTGTGTGTGTGTGGGGGGGCGGAAGGCCGTGCTAAGAGGGGGCACGACCCAGCAGAGCTTGACCCCGAGCGCTCAGCGAACGCTTTCCAGCTGCGGGCGCCGCCCTCCGTGGGTGCACGCAAGTGCAGGGCGCGTGAGAGCCCGCCCCGCCCCGCCCCGCCCCCGGAGCCGGTGTGAAGGGCCCTGCGTTCGTGCTCCCGGGCGCTGGGATGCAGGGACTCGGGCTGGAGGGCCCGAGGCCACGGAGGCTGCTCTCCGCCCGCTCTGGGGGCTGCGCCCCTCCCCTGAGGTGCGGGGCGTGGCCGTGGCCGGGGATGCGTCCCTCGGTCCCTGACACCCGTGTCTGTCTGTCTCTCTCCTTCCTGAGTGCTGTAAGGTCTGGTGGCAGTGCTGCTTCATAACAACAGCACCTGATACTTCTTAAGGGTCTCTCTTCGGCTGTGAAATTGTTGGTGCTCACTGCAGGACAGGGGACATTGCCGGCCGGCACTGCTGAGCAGCTGCCTTGTGCAGAGGACGGCGGGGTGGGGGGGGGCACAGTGACGGCCGTCCCGCCGCAGGGGAGAGTCGCCGTGCATCCCCGCTCGTCGTCGCTGTGGTGCGCGTGCGCGGAGGGGGCGGGAAAGTGGAGGGGGGGCCCCCTTTGGAGGAGGTGTCGTCCTCAGGTGAAGGCTGGGCGGCTCAGCTGGCCGGAGCATCCCCCCGACGCACGGAGGGTGCCAGTCAGCGCCCAGTGCGGGGGATGCAGGGCGGTGTCTGTCCCTCGGGAGGGAGGGAGGGGGAGGGAGGCTGGTGCTGGGCAACAGGGCAGGTCTTTCACCCGCCCGCCTTGCTCCCTGCCCTAGGTCTGAGCGAGATAAACTACATGCACGAGCTCCTCACCAACATGATTCAGAAAAGGTGTGTCTGTGCGATGCCTCCTCGCCCCCTTCTCCTGGGACGGGCCGTGTCGGCGGGACGCTGCCCAGCGAGGCCCCACCGGCCTCGGGTGCAGGCGCCGCCCCGTCCGAGCGGACTAGTGACCTCCGGGAGGGGTCCCTGGTCCGCCCCCCGCCCCTGCCTGACCGGGGCTGCACCCCCCCCCCAGGCTGCAGGTGTACCCGCTGCACTCGAGCGTGACCCTGGAGGAGCAGAGCAACGTGTTCCTGAGCCCGGTGCCCGGGTACAGGAAGGTAGGGCTGGGTCCCCCCGCCCCCCCCCCCAGGGCAGACGCGGGCCTCGTGGGCCAGGGCCGCTCGGTGTCGTCCGTGACCTCTGTGTCCGTTTGCCAGAGGTTTTCCTCTCCTTCGATCCCTCGGAGTGTGGGACTGCCCTGGTGACTTCCGGATTTTGTTTGGTGTTCGGGGGGAGGGCGGACGAGGGGGGGGAAGAGGCGGAGAAACACCCGTCGGCCGCCCCTCACACGCCCCTACTGGGGGTCTGGTCTGCAGTCCAGACGTGTGCCCTGACGGGGAACCTGGCCTGCTACCTTCGGGTCCTCAGGCTGGTGCTCAACCTCCTGGCCACAGCCGCCGGGTCGGGCGGGGTCCTTTCAACTCTGGCCACTCGGGAGCAATGGGCCCTGTCGTCACAGCCCCTGCAGCGCTGCCCGTGGCACCCGGGGGCCCTGACTGCAGCAGGAGCTCTGAGCCCCTGGCGGCCCGGCCCCTGCTGGCTCCCAGGGCGGCTGCAGCCCCAGCCCTGCCCTGGCTCCCAGCCTGGTCACGCCCTTTGCCCCTGAGAGTGACCCCTGCCCCGGGAGGCAGTGGCGCCACACTGAGGTGGGGGCTAGGGGCAGGTGGGATTGGGCGGGTGGTGCAGGCCTGCGCCCTGAGGCTGTGGGACTTGGAGTGGATCGCTGCTCTGGGACTCGATTTTGTCGTCTGGAGGCCGGGGCGGCAGCGCTGGGGCCGCAGGGCTGCCGGGGGGCGGGGGGCGGCCACGTGGGCCCGGGGCCCCCGCTGCGGAGCAGGGCTGGGCTTCAGGGTGGGTTCGCCTGCCGAGGCCACGGCCACGCTGCGCTGACCTCTCTGTCTAACCGCCCCGCCCCCGCCAGGACCCTTGGTCGTTGTGGCGTGGACACAATAGGAAAGTGACGAATTTCAAATGGAGTCCAGGTGTTCACACTGAGAAACTTTTAAGTAATTTTCGAGTTTGAGGTTTGTTAGCTTTGCCCAGTGATGTCCCGTGTGCGGTGAGAACACCAGGTTCTTCCCTCGCTGTTCGGTAGATCATCCTGTCCACCAACATCGCGGAGAGCTCCGTCACGGTCCCAGACGTCAAGTACGGTGAGACCCTCTCTGTGTCCCTGTGCAGCGCTCCTGGGACCTGTGGGGGCAGCTCAGGGGAGGCGACAGGGGGCGGGTCTTAGACGGCAGAGCAGCGGCCACGGGGAGGCGTGGCTGTGGCGCAGGGACCAGTCTGAGGAGCAGCGGGCAGGCGGGTGTGGCTGGGACAGACGGACAGGGGCTGTGAGGCTCGTGCTTGTCCCGGGGTGACCAGGGTGCCGGGCGGGGTGGGGGGGGGCGGTGACAGAGGTCTGTGTCCTGCTGGGACGGCCAGGCTGGGGGTGGGAAGGCGAGACGGGGAGCGACACACACACACACACACACACACACACACACACACACACGGTGGGCGGGGTGGGGGGGGGCGGTGACAGGTCTGTGTCCTGCTGGGACGGCCAGGCTGGGGATGGGAAGGCGAGACGGGGAGCGACACACACACACACACACACACACACGGTGGGCCGTGAGCTGCGGTGGGGAGAGGGGGCGTGGGGAGTGTGGCCGGGCTCGGAGGCGGACTCGCAGGCTGTGCTGGGCGCTCCGACAGAAGGGGACCCTTCGGCCTCGGCGCATGTGAGGGAGGCCTCTGGGCGGGTCCTGAGGCTGGGAGCCCCTCGGTGGGCGGGCGGGCGCTCGTCAGAGCCACACGGGGCTGAGACCCTGACACGCAGGAGAGGTGTGGGGACGGCGGGGCCCGCGGTGCTCGGGCTCTGAGCGAGGGTGTGGGAGAGCCCGCGGTGCCTGCTGCGGCACAGTGCGCCTCTGAGGCCCAGACGGGCAGGTCTGCCCGGAGCCACTGCGGGGCCTGCTGTCTGCGGGGGCTGCTGTCCGTGGGCGCACAGACGGGGACACACAAGCCCCAGGAGACCCAGCAGCTGGGCCCCAGCCCCCTAGCCCCGGCCGCTGCTCTGCCCTACCCTGCCCAGCGCCCAGGGACTGCGGGGGTCGGGGGGTCCGGTGCAGCCAGGGGGCTCACCCTGGGACACGTCGGGTCCTGCAGGCTCCGTGGCTCCCGGGTCTGGTCGGTCTGTCGCCGTGTGGGATCGTCACGCCGCTGTCTCCCGTCAGCGGTCTGCTTACGCTCTCTCTCTAACGACAGTCATAGATTTTTGCTTGACCCGAACCCTGGTTTGCGATGAGGACACCAACTACCAGAGTCTGCGCTTGAGCTGGGCCTCGAAAACCAGCTGCAACCAGAGGAAAGGTGAGCGGGGCCCCCAGCTTGGGCCGGTCCTCGGGCACACGCCTGCCCCGGGCCCGCGCTGCCTGGCGTGGCCGGGTTCCCGGGTCGAGCAGCAGTGGGCCTTGTTGGAGGACTCGCCACTTAACCCCGTGGCCCCCCCCGCCCAGCGGACGAGGGGACGGTCTGTGTCCGTGTGTGGTGGACAGCAGCCTGTCACCCTTGGGCTGCCGCTGCCCACGGCAAGCTGCCCCGAGTCTGGCAGCAGCTGTGGAAGCCATGTGGCCGCCTTGTGGGTTTTTGGTCGCCCTCTCTCCGGCTCTCCTCCGAGTGTCGGTCTTTCTGAGCCAGCTGCCTGGAGGACCCACCTCTGCCGGGGCGCGCCCATGTCTCCCTGCGGCCGTGGCGGTGGGCTCTTTGTCGGGGGCTGGGGCTTTGGCCACGGGGCAGGCGCGGTGGTGACCTGGGGCACCCGGCTGCAGGGACAGCGCTCTGGGTGTGGGCGGAGGCGCGCTGTGCTTCCCTCCAGCCTTGGGGGGGGGGGCAGGTGATGGCCACCTTGGCTGGGAGAGAGGGAGGGCGCCTGACGGGCGCCTGCCACGCACGGGTGCGACTCCAGGTGCCCCCTGTGTCCTCAGTCCCCGGGCCACCCCCAGGGCAGAGCCACAACACCGCGCGGCGGGAGAGCAGCCTGCCCGGGCCGCTCCGGGGGGGTGGGACTGCAGTTGGAGCCCCGGGGCCTACTCGGCTCCCGGGCGGGGCCGCCCAGAGGGGGTTCCCAGAGAGAGAGAGAGAGAGCCCGCCAGGTCGAGGGGGAGGGAGGGCCTCGGACGGCCTCTCGCCGCGGGGACCCTGGTGTCCGGGGGTGGGTGGCGTGAGGAAGTGCGAGCAGGACAGCAAACGAGGTCTTGCTGCTCGACCCCCCCCTGCCCCCAACCCTGAAGCGGCCGCACGTGGAGGACACGGGCAGAAGTAGACACGCGAGCGCTAGAGGCCGTCGTCTCGGGGCCGCCCGGGCATCGCGGGCGGTTTAGCCTCCCACCCCTCCACACGTCCCGAGTCTCTGCGGTTAGATGAGTTCTCCCGCGCGGGGAGCTGCGGAGACAGCCCCTCGAAGCCCCCCCCACCCCCCCCCAGCGTGCGGGTGGGATGCCCCGCCGCCCCTCTGCTCCTCAGAGAGCCCTGCGGCCCGTGCCCGTGGAGGTGGTCCCGCGGGGCCACCCAGGGGGCCGCACGTGCCGGTCCTCCTCCCTGGTCACTGCTGGGCCGCCCCGTGCTGCGCCGGCCACGGCCGGAGCACGCTGGGGCTTCCTGAGCGAAGTGGCGCTGGACGTGGTGGCGCTGGACGCAGCCCCGTGGGAAGCGACGTTCGCGTGGACGCGAGTCTTTGGGCCCTGGGGCGCCAGCCCGGCTGCCCTTGCCGGTCGGGTGTGAGCCTGTGCGGCGTGTGCTGTGAGGCGTGTGCGGGACACAGGGTGACAACCTGCGCACTGGCTCCGCCCTCTGCGCTGCTGTCCGTGGCGTGTGGCCGGTCCCCTCCACAGCCTGCCAGCGTCGGCGGTCACTCTGTTTTGCTGTGGCCGCTCTGCGAGGTCCGCGGTCACGCCTCGCTGAGCGTCGAGCTGCGTGTCCTTGGTGGTGGTGGGCTCCCATCCTCGCCTCTGTCACCTGCCGTCTGCTGCTGCTCTGCGACGTGTCCGGTACCCGCTTCCCACCCGGGTCAGTGGCGTCCTCACGGCCGGGCTCCGAGAGCTGCTCCCCTCCGCAGCTGAGAGCCAGCTCTGCGGCGACGGGCGGGCAGACTCTTCCGCTCCGGGCTGCAGTCCGCGCGTGCCCTCGTGGGCCCGTCTCAGAGTGGCTCTCAGGCTGGAGGGGGTCCCGCACTCCCGTGTGTGTGTGTGTGGGGGGGGGTGCGACTCCCGGCACCGCAGTGCTGGGGCTCCTGCCGACCTGGTCCGCTGGAGTGCGGGGTTGGGTGGTCACTCTTGAGCACGCACTGTGCTGATGTGGGGTGATGAACGCCATGCGGTCTCCGGACCTCCCTCCCCCACAGGCCGTGCTGGACGGGTGTCGAAGGGCTACTGCTACCGCCTGGTGCACAGGGACTTCTGGGACAGCGCCATCCCCGACAACGTCGTCCCGGAGATGCTGGTAACACGCCTGCCGCGTCGGACAGAGCCCGTGCTCCCTGGGCCGCACGGTCCGAGGGACGCCGCCGCTCTCGGTGCTCGCGGCCCAGGCTCCAGGACCCCTGCTGGCCGGTGGCCGGTGGCCGGACCAGCGGCCTCCGGCTGCCGTGGCAGCTCGCCCACCGAGCCCCGGGCGCCCTGCGGGCCTCACTCGGGCACCTGCGGTGGGGCCCCCGGGCCGTTGGCTCAGATGCTCCGCCTCCCTCGTCCCTGGGGCAGGGGAGGGGGTACGGGCGGGGGCTGGCGGCTTCCTCTTCCGGGTCCTCTCCGTCCCCTGCCCCCGCCCCCCCCCCCTTTACTGTGTCTCCCTCCCCCCCCTCCTCGGTCTCCAGTCCCCCCTTTGGTCTCCAGTCCCCCCTTTGGTCTCTGGTCCCCCCTTCACTTTTGCTCACCCCGCCCCCCCCTTCCCGGTCTGTCTTTCTCACCCCCCCTCTCTCACCTGCTGCTGCTGCTCCTCCTCTCACCCCTCCCTGTTTTTTCCGGGCTTTTCTCTTCTCCCCTCGCTGCCGCCCCCTCTCTGGGGGCGAGAAGCGAGACTGGGTGTTGGGTCTCGCGATGGTGCCGTGTCTGACAGAGGCTCTCCCCCCCAGCGCTGCCCCCTGGGGAGCACGGTGCTGAAGGTGAAGCTGCTGGACATGGGCGAGCCCCGGGCCCTGCTGGCCACGGCCCTCTCGCCGCCCCGCCTGGGCGACATTGGGCGCACCGTCCTGCTGCTGAAGGAGGTGGGCCGGCTTGCGCTCGCGGCCGGGGGGGGGGGCGGCGGGGGGGCAGGACTTGCGTGGCCGATTGGACAGGTTGTGCGGCCGGGGGTGCGCAGCCTTTGCTGTGAAGAGCACATGTGGTGACTGTGACCTCGGCTTCCTCACGCGCGCTTTGTCCTGCTGGCCTCGCGGTGTCCGGGGGTTGGGACGGGGCGGCACCAACGGTACGTGATGACTCCTCTCAGGTGTGTCTTCATGCCGACACGGGAGTGACCGATGCCAAACGGCAGGTGAACGTCCCCCCAGGAAGGCCGGCTGGGCCGCATCTGGGGCCGCAGTGACGGCCCGGGGCACGGGTTTCGGGGCAGCCGTCCCCCCGTCGGCCCGCCCTCACCCCCAGTCCTGCCGCTCGGCCTCACCCCAGCTTCCCCTCCCGGCTGCAGACTCCGCCCCCGGCTTTGGCTTCAGTTGCTTTGACCCCCGCACGCACGCACGGGGCTCAGGCTCCGCCCCTGCCCCCACCCCGTGCCACCAGCGCACCTGCCCTTTGCTGGGGCTCCGCCTCCTCTCGGGTGCCGCCCCTGGTGTGTCGCCCTTACTCTCCCGTCTGCTGGGGTTTCTGGGGAGCACACTCACTCAGGTTCCGGGAGTGAGCTGTTTGTGTGCACAGTTAGAGTGTTTGCTGTGAGAGGTCAGCGTGACGATGTGCACGCAGGTGGGGTCTCCGGTCAGCGCTGGGCAGGCCGCAGCCTCACCCTGGGAGTCAGGCAGGCGCTGGTGGGACCGGCCGCGCGGGTCGCCTGCTGGCCCGTCCTCTCAGGACCGACGCCGGGACGGGTCCTGCTCGTCAGAAGGCAGACCTGCCTGTGCTGGCGGCCGCAGGCGTCCCAAGTCGGCTCGGGTGTCTATCCGGAGCCCGCGCGCCACGGGACCCGCGCTGTGCGCAGGCGCCCTGCCTGCAGGCCTGCTCACGGCGCTCCCTCCTGGGCACAGGTCGGCGCGCTGGCGGTCAGCGGGCAGAGGGAGGACGAGAACCCGCACGACGGCGAGCTGACCTTCCTGGGCCGCGTGCTGGCCCAGCTCCCCGTCAGCCAGCAGCTGGGCAAGCTCGTCGTGCTGGGCCACGCGTTCGGGTGTCTGGACGAGTGTCTCATCCTAGGTGGGTGGGTGCGGGCGGGGCGGGGGGGTGCTGGGCCGGGCCTTCTCACGCCCTCTGACGCCCTCTGCGGTTTCCCTCGGCAGCGGCCGCTCTGTCTCTGAAGAACTTCTTTGCGATGCCCTTCAGGCAGCACCTTGACGGATACAGGTGTGTCCCGTGCGTGTCTCAGAGCCGCCTGGCTGTGCTGGCACCGGCTGACCCCGCCTCCTGTCCTCTCACAGGAGCAAGGCGTTGTTCGCCGGCAGCAGCAAGAGCGACTGCATCGCCCTGGTCGAGGCCTTCAGGGTGGGTCCCTGCGCTCCTCCGGAGCGTGGTCGGCGGGGGTGGGCGGGGGTGGGAGCCCAGTTTCGTGAGGCCGACTGGACGGCGCCGTCTGTGGGTGCTCTGTGGTTCCGCTGTGCTGAGGTTGGGCTTTAACTCTGGGGGGTCGCCGGGGAGGACTCAGACTCGGGGTCCTTTCTTTCAGACCTGGCAGGCCTGCAGGCAGCGGGGGGAGCTGCGGCACCCGAAGGTAGGTCTCCGCGGCCGCGGGGGGCGGGGCTGCCCGAGCTGGACCCGGTCACTGCCTGGCCGCGTGGGCCTGCCCTGTGCCACGGGCAGCTCCCCGGGGCAGCGGTGCCCTCCTGCGTGTCCGGGGCCGAGGCAGCCGGGGTGCTCACTGCCCTGGGGGCTCCGCGCCCGTGTCCCGGCCAGGTTCTGTTGTTCTGAGCCGGTGGGGTCGAGAGACTGGGGTCGGCAGGCTTGTCTGGGGGGTCCCCGTCCCCGCAGCGCCGCCCTCCGGCACGCCGGCTGCGTGCTGGTTCTGGCTGGCATGAGTGCCTTGGTGTGTGTGTGTGTGTTTGGATGAGTTGTGCACGTTACAGCAGCAAGCTCGGCTCTGACCGGCTCTGTCAGCGCTGAGTGTGGTGCTTTTACGTGTCTGAAGGACGAACTCGAGTGGGGTCGGCTGAATTACATCCAGATCAAGAGGATCAGAGAGGTGAGTGGGAGCACGCGGGCAAGGGGCGAGTGCCTGTCCCCCCCTCGGCAGCATCTGCGTGCGTGGCATCCGCGTGGTGATTTGTGAACAGGAGCGCGTTGACGCAGAGCCGTCCGTCCTCCACGCAGCTCACGTGCAGCTCCTCGTCCACGTGACACGCGGCGCAGGCACTCACTGTTGTTACCCGTACGAGCCCCGCGACTGCGGACGCGACGGCAGCCTCTTTCTCGTTCTGAGGGTCGGGTGCTTGTGGCCCTTTTGTCTCCTGATCAGACGTGTGTGCTGGCGGGTGGGGGGGGTGCGGGTGTCCCAAGAGCAGCCCCCCTGGGTCCAGCAATTGGCTGGAGAGACTTGGAGCTTGGTGGAGCTGCTGCCCTCGTGCTCACAGGCGGGCGCAGCTACGGGGTGCAGAGCCCAGCAGCCCAGGGACAGGCTTGCGGGGAGGGGTCGGAGGAGGCCAGGGGCTGGGGTCCCGTCGTCTCCTCCCAGCGGGTCCCGCGGCTCGACAGGCTGTCCCAGCGCTGGCGTGTCGGCAGGGCCGCCTGCTGCCAGCCTGGGCGGCTCTCCGGGCCCTGGAGTCCGGCTTTGCAGCGGGCGGGCCGCGTGCCTGGCCTCCCCTACTCAGTGTGTGGCCCCTCCGGAGGTCACCCGGGGGCTGCATGGCCCAAGGCCCCCAGCATCCGTGAGTGACGCTGCCGTGTCCCAGGCCTCTGCCAGACAGAGACCCTCGGAGGAGCAGGACATCCCCAGAGCCCCGCGGGCCCCTGGACGGTGCACGGGGGACGGTGCACGGGGGCCGGCCGGCCGGGCTCATCCCACTCCCCGCACTTCCCGGGGGGCCGGGGCCGGTCCCTTGGGTTCCCAGAGAGCTTCCTTTGGGTGAGGTTTCACTCCCTAGTTTTTTTTTTGGCGGGGGGGAGATTTTAGGTGGCTGATTTTCGTTTTTTATTAGTTTAGTGTTCGTGTCCCTTGGTTCTCCATTTTCGTCTTCCCGAGATGAGTATTGGGCCCACAGATACTGTCAGCGCTTTGGACGGAAAGCGTGTGAAGCTGCGGACACACTGTGCGCGGAGCTGCCCGGGCCCCGCCTGTGGGTGTGTGTGTGCAGCCTCGCGCCCTCCTCCGTGCCGGAGTCTCAGGGGGGCCTCCGAGACTCCGGGGGAGAGGCTGCTTTGGGAGGCTTTGTGGTTGGTCTGTGGCTGCTGCGCGTGGTCAGAGCACGGGGCTCGCACCAGGCGCTCGGGGCTCGGGGGCGCCCTCGGTCTCTGCCTGGGGGGCACCAGGGCCTGCCCCCCAGCCCAGGCCCTCCTCGCACCGTTCCCCCGCCTCCCGGTCTTTCTGCAGTCGAGGCCGCGCGTGTGGTTCGAGCGTGTGTGCTCTGTGCGGTGTGCTGAGGGGCTTGGTGCACACGGAGCTCAGGGCCCGTCCCCAGGCCGCGGGACCTGCGTGCCTCCCGCGTGTGCGCGCTGGGGGCCGGGCATGTGCGTGGGGCAGCTTCGCTGCGGTGCGGTGCTCCTGGGTGCCAGCGGCTGGGGGGCCCCTCACGTGTCTCTGGCCGCTGTGTCAGCGCGCGCTCGCGCCGGAGCTCTGGGCGTGTGCGAGGGGCGCAGAGCAGAGGGCTCGGCCACCCCCCCCCACCCCGCGCCGTGGGCCGTGCTCCTCCGTGGGCGCTGGGGCCACGGCGTGGAGAGGGCGTGTGTCCTGGGAGCTCCACCCACACTGTCCTGGGCCAGCCTCCCCTTCTCCCGTCAGGCAGGCCCCCAGGAGGCGGCTGTGAGCCCGGCAGCACCCCCCGGAGCCCCAGGAGGAGTGGCGCTCGCCCCTGGCGCCCCGTGTCTGCCCGGCTCCGAGCCGCCCGCCTGTGTCCGCCGCAGGTGGCCGAGCTCTACGAGGAGCTGAAGAGCCGCGTCGCCCAGTTCAACATGAACGTCGGCTCCCGGCGGCCCGCCCTGGACCAGGAGTTCCCGCACAAGCAGCGGTTCATCCTGCAGGTGCGTGTGCGCCGCCTGCCCGCCGGCGCGGCCCTGCCGAGGGCTGTTTCCGTCCGCGGTGGTGGAGGCGCTCGGGACCCAACCTTCGCTTTGGCTCCTGCGGCCGTCGGCAGGCTCTCGGTCTCGCTGAGCAGGAAGGGGGGAGGCAGCCGCGTCCCCGTCCCCGTCCCCGTCCCCGTCCTCCGGGAAGGCCCTGCGGCGGCTGAAGAAGGGGCTCCGTGCAGACTGGCGCTCCGGCTGCCGGTGCACGTGGCGGCTCGGTCCAGCCCTGGGCAGGTGCCGCAGGGGGGGCGGGGTCCCCACAGCCTGCAGGGCCCCACGCTGCCCTCCCCACCCCCACCCCCGCGTGGGAGGGGCACCCAGGCCCCCCTGAGGGGAGCTCAGGCCCTGTGTGTGCCTGCTGTGGGGGGACAGCCAGAGCGGTGACCCTCTGCCTGAGCAGGGCCAGGCCTGCCGCCCCAGGGCCACCATGCTTCTCTGTTCCCTGGAAGAGGGGGCGCACCAATGCGGGGCCGCGGTTGCTTCATGGAATGTGTTTCTCCTCCAGGTTGTGCTGGCAGGCGCCTTCTACCCGAACTACTTCACGTTTGGGCAGCCGGACGAGGAGATGGCAGTGAGGGAGCTGGCTGGCAAGGACCCCAAGACGACCATCGTGGTAGGTGGGGGCAGGCCACTTCCCCCGGGAGTGCTGGCGCCGGTGCCCAGAGGGCTCCGCTGCCGTTGGGGCCGTCGCGGCCCCCAGACCAGAGCGCCGCTCGAGGGTGAGCCCCACGCCCCGGTTCTGCAGGAGGGGTGTGGCCTGGACACAGCACCTAGCTCACGCGGGTGCCGGGTGACTGGTGGGCGGCCTGTGCGGAGAGCTGAGCCCACGGCCACTGTGGGGCGCACAGCTGGGGACTGGACTTCCTGGGGCCCTGTGGTTCCGGGGTGAGCCCCCCTCTGCTGAGGGGCAGTGGGGTGCTCGGCCGCGCTCCTGGCACGACGCGAGGGTGCTGGCTCTCCCTGTCGCTGTTCCCCCCCCCCGCCACTGGCAGGAGGCGGAGCTGACGAGGGGAGGGTCGCAGAGGGAGCGCGGCCCCAGGGCCCTGGGGCAGGGCCAGGAGCCGGAGTGTGGGCGGGGGTGCGGCGAAAGCAGGGGGTGGGGGGTTCCTCTCTCAGCACCGTCTGGTTGGTCGTGGGGGCCCAGCCCGGCCCGTCCCCCGGGCACCACAGTGTGCTGGCTCCCCACACCCACCGTGCCCACGCGGCCCCCCGGTGACCCCCGGCGGCATGCGTTCCGGGGATTAGGGGCAGCCGGGGTCTCCCCCGCACAGGCTCAGAGGCCCTGGGTGAGGTGCACGTGTTGATTCCTCAGCCCCACACCGATCTCTCCGTGGGGGGACTCGCCGTCCCCCACCCCTCTGTTTTGTGGCTTCTGAGTGGGAAGGCGACCCCTGACCTGCCTCGGACGCTCGATGGGACGGGGCTTGCACTCAGGCCCACCGCCTCGCTCCGGCTGCAGTGGGCCTGTGGGGCCGGGACCTGGCCCAGGGGCGGGGCTCCTGGTTGGGCGGGGGCGCTCTCTCTCCACACACTGCTGGGGCGAGGGTGGGGGGGGCGGCGGGACACGCTCGCTGGGGGCTGGTGGGAGGAGGGGTTTCCTCTGGCCGGGCTGAGCACACCCTCGCCTCTCGGGCTGGACCTCCGGGCTGTCCTGACGGGAAGAACCAGCCGTCGTCGAACACGCGGCTGTCACCAACCCCAGTTCCGGCGCAGCAGTCCTCCCGGCCTCTGCGCCCCGCGCTCCCAGAGCCCCGTCCGCGGTCAGCGCGCCCCCGCGGCAGGGCCCTAACGGCGGGGCCCTAACGGCCGCCCTGTCCCGCAGCTGAAGCACGCCCCGCCCTATGGCTTCCTCTACCACAAGCAGCTGCAGTCGCTCTTCCGGCAGTGCGGCCAGGTCAAGTCCATCGTGTTCGACGGGGCGAAGTGAGTGCCGGGGTTCCCCACCCAGCCTCCACTGCGGGCCCGAGAGGGGTCTCCGCGGTTTCGGGAGCTGGCTCCGAGGGGCGTGTGTGTGCGGGGGCGGCCCCCCGCCTGGAGCTGCGGCTTCTCTGGTGTCAGCGGCTGCCGACCTTCCCGAGGGGCAGCTGTGGCCGCTGGTCTGGTGCCCGGAGGGCTGGGCGACGGCCGTCCCAGGCTGACCTTGCCCACACCAGGGGTCGCACGCCTCCTGGAGGTCTGGCGTGGGGGGCCGTGTTCTGACCTAGGGGTACTGGACGCTCAGACACAAACGGGGTAGGTCTGGGGTGGCTGTAGGGCAGGGTGGGGGATCGGGTGGGTGGAGGGGGTGTCGACCAGCTCCGCCTCCGACAGACCTGGTGTTCGGAGGTCACGGAAGAGGTCGCCCCCCCAGGGCACCTGTGGGCAGTCTCCTCTTACCGAGTTTTGTTTTACAACGCAACAAAGAAAAGCCAAGACCTGTCATTCTGTTCTCATCACGGCAGTTGAGATTTCTTAACAGACGATCCCGTTCAGACTCAGTTTGCTGTTCACGTTACATAGAATGGTGCTTGGTTAGAAAGGTTTCGTGTATTTACTTTTATAGAGAGGGGGAGGGAGGGAGAGAGGGAAGCACGGATCATTTGTCTCTCATGCACCCCCTACTGGGGACCTGGCCCGCACCCAGACATGTGCCCCGCCTGGGAATCGAACCGGTGACCCTTTGGTTTGCAGGATGATGCCCAACCCACTGAGCGACACTGGTCAGGGTGAGGAATGACACCTGACAGTAGTTTAATGATAGGTCACGGCACTGATACCTCTCTGAGTGAGCTGAGAGCACCGATGTTTTGAGAGGCAGTGCGAGTGCGGGTTTCCGTTCAGTCCCGAGGGAAATCAGTGCGCGCTCCGTCGTTTTCCGGGCGCTCGGTAACCGTGTGTGTGCTTCGTGTCGCGGCAGAGCCTTTGTGGAGTTTTCCCGGAACCCGACAGAGAGGTTCAAGACGCTTCCTGCCGTGTACCTGGCCATCAAGATGTCCCAGCTCAAAGTGCCCCTGGAGCTGAGCGTGCACTCGGCGGAGGAGATCGAAGGCAGGCTGCTCGGGGGGGCCGCCTCGAAGCTCCGGAGCACCAGGTGGTTCTGGGGGGCGGGGCGGGGCCCTGCGGCCGTTTTCCCACCGGAGCGCTGGCCCTGGAGCCGGGCGGCGCTGTCCGGGAGCCCAGCGTCCCCGTCCCCTCGCCGTGCGTGCACGCGGGCGGGCGCACCGCTCGACCTCCCCCCTCGACCTCCCCCCTCGACCTCCCCGCACGCCTGTGCTCCTCGTTCATCCCCCCGCCCCGGGCTCCACCCCACCCCGGTTTTACTGAGAACGGCCCCCCCCACGTGCGTGTGAGCGTGCAGCGCGCTGCTTCAGCGTGCGTATGCTGCGAGGCAGTCGCCTGAGAGGCTCGCCCGACCGCCCCCCCCGCCCCGGCTTCCTGGAGAGATGCGGGAGGGGGAGGGGGAGGAACAGACTCTCCTCCCAGGGATGGGAGCTCTCAGGGCGGATCTTCACGCCCGGCCTGCACCGTGCCGCCCCGCGGCGCCACTCGGTCCCTGTGTGGGGGGGACCTGGGGTCTCAGCACCTCCTCCGCTTTCCCTGGCCCCGCCCCCACGCCCCCTCTCTCCCTCCACGAGTTCGGTTTCCTGTCTCTGTTCTGTTCTCGACCCCGCGGGCGCTGGGCCCCCGCGGGCGCTGGGAGCGCGGTCACGTGGCGTGGGCCTGCCCTCCTCTGTGCTGCTCCACGCAGCGTGCTGCCTGCAAGGCCGTCCACGCGTCCCAGATGGCAGGGCCTCCTCGTGTTTTACGGCAGAGGCACACGTTCATCGCGACTTCCTTCCCCGCTCGCCCGCCAGCGGGCACCTGGGCTGCACGTCCCGGCCTTGACCAGCGTGGGCGTGGGGGCGTGGAGACCGCTTCGAGTTAGTGTTTCTGTTTCCTTCGGTCAAACGCCCGGGAGAGGGGTTGCTGGGTCCCAGGTGGTTCCGGGCTGAAGTTTCCGAGGACCCTCCAGGCTGCCGTCCGCGCTGGCTGCACCAGGCAACCCTGCCTTCTCCCCGCATCCTCGCCAGCCCTTCTGACAGGTGTGGCGTGACAGCTCCCTGTGGTCCGGGGTGCCTGTCCCCGAGGATTTGGGGTGCGGAGCTGCTGTCGTGTGCCTGGTGGTGTCTGGAGGTGTTGGCGGGAGAGACCTGGTTCTTGCTGACGCATGTGAAGGATCACAGATCAGCACACCCGTTAGCGTGTAGGCAGTTTATGAGTGCCCACGGAAGAGAGCAGGACTGGGTAGAGTGGGGGTTGGTGAAAGGCAAAGTTTCAGGGCAAAGCTGGGTGACAAAAGCAAGAGCCGCTGAAGACCATGGTGGCAAGCCCCCGGGCAGCCTGAGGCCTGGTGGCCAGAGGCCCAGCGGCCAGGGAGCCAAGAGCCCCCGAGAGAGGGGGTCCTTTGTTCTCAGGACTTACATGGTTGGTGGGATGGGAGGCGGAAAGTGACATATTGATTGACGGGTAAATGCGGTGCCAGCTTTCCTGGGGGAACGTGACCACCCAGACTCAGGTGTGTGGGGGGGTCTGTCAGCCCCAATTCTTATCTTGCTCCAGACCCCATTTGTTTACCTTGTTCTAAAACAAATACGTGACAGGAGGCGGTCCATTACAATTGGGGCACTTTCCACAGTTATTTATGGGCTCTTTCTGTGAGCGTCAGGGACTCCCTCGTAGAACAGATAATGACCGGAGGTAGGCAATCAACCAAAGTTGTTTTATGATCTTCTTCTGTGGGCACCGGGACCCTCCCCCACATCCAGGCCCTGGGATGAAAGCACAGTTTCAAGGCTTTCTTTCCCAGACAGTGGAAATGTTACATAGAACTTCAAGGACTTCCTTCTGTTCTTGCTAACATGGTGTCTCTTATGACGTTGGAACACCTGGCAGTGTTATCGGACCAGGCTCAGGACCGCTGAGTTAGCGTGTGTGACCTGTCTCCTTCCTCCTCCCTGCCTCGGTTTACTATTTATTCTGCCTAGTTGGTAAAAGGCGTTTCCCGGCAACCAGGGTGCCAGCCGCTGGCCAGTGACAGCGGTGCGGTCTGGGAGTTCTCCCCGGGCGGTCTCCCCCACAGAGGGCGTCTGTCCAGGCCGTCTGCGCTGGTCGAGTCGGGCGCCGCCTGTGTTGCTGCTGAGCCACCTCCCTGGAGCCGCGCCGGCCTGTCGCACGCACGGGGCCGCCGGGAGGGGCAGCCGAGAGGGGCAGCCGGGAGGGGCCGCCGGGAGGGCCACGGGCTGCTCCCGGGGTGTCGGCTCCAGCCGCGGTCCCGCAGGGGGGCGGGCTCCCCCCGACGGCTGTCCCCGGCTGCCTCCTGAGCAGAGCAGACGAGCCCATAGATGGGGTGGGCAGCGGGGGCGGGCAGCGGGGAGGGGGAGGGCAGCCCCTGGCGGGCGCCTGCGCAGGCACCCGTCAGGGTGAGGGCTGGGCCTGCTGCCGGGTGTGGGCGGCCGGGACCGGGGCCCTGGGTGCTCGGCAGCTGCGGTCAGGTGCGGAGTTTCTCCCCTTGGACCAGACCACGTCACCCTTCCAGCCCTGCTCCCACACTGGGCGGGCCTGCCCCAGCCGCTCCCGCCTCCTCATAAACGGGTGTGGGCGTGGGGCCCAGGGCAGGACCCGGTCCCCGTGTGATCTTCCTCTTCGTGTCGGAAGGAGAGCGGCGGGGGGGCAGGGGGACTTTTATTTTTACCGAGCTGGTGTTTCGAGCTCCTGGACGGGAGCCTCCCCTCCCTGACCGCTGGGAAGGGCGAGCGTGGTTCCTCGGGCTCCTCAGAGAGTCGTGCGTGTGCGTGTGCTCTGGTGACACCGAACCTGGTGCGACAGCAGGAACCAGGTGTGGGTGCTCGTGGTTCTCCGGGCGTCAGAGTCGCTCCCCCTGGAACCACGGGCCAGAGAACATTCCGGGCCGCGGGTGCAGAGTCCACGCCCTGAAAGCAGAGACCCTCGGGTGTCTCGGCCCTCGGGGGATGTCCCCGGAGGGTGCGGGGCTGGTGGGCGCACACCGCCTCCCCCCCAGGCTGCTTGGGAAGCCCCCCGAAACTCAAGTGTGAGCTGAGACCCAGCTTGCCACCCCGGTGCAGGCATGTCACTAAAACGTTCCTGCCCGTAGAGATGGCGGGACGCCCAGGCTGTTTACACGTGTAAGCGTGTTTCCTTCCTAACACTCGACTCTCCCTCTTTTCCCCCAAACCGCGCCCCACAGGGTGAGTGTGGACTTCCAGAAGCAGACCGTGGACCCCGTCCAGGTGTCCTTCAGCGCCCCAGACCGGCCCCGCCTGGTGTCGGACCTCCTGCTCCCGGTCGACGTCACCGAGGTGGGGGTCTGGAGCCTGCGCGCTGCCGCCGGGGCCCTGGGGGGGTGCCGGCCAGCGCGGGTGCGGGCTCCACGGTGCCGGCGGAGGGGGTGCAGCTGGGGCGGCACGGGAAACCCAGACGCTCACTCTGGATTCAGGGTTGGAGTGTGGAATCGCCAGGTTGTTTAAAACACCAAAAGTCAGTGTCAGCCACAAGATACGTGTAAAAATATTAATTGGCATAATAGCGTGTGCTCGTGTAATTCAACTTGTATTCACAAAAGTAGCATTGGTTCCGTTCTTCTTTAGGGTGTAAGTGAAATAAAAAGTTTTTGAAGAGTTTATTTACTTTCAGAGAGAGGGGAAGGGAGGGAGAAAGAGGCAGAGAAACATCAGTGTGTGGTTGCCTCTCCCACGCCCCCTACTGGGGACCCGGCTGGTGCCCCTCTGGCTCGCAGGCCGGCGCTCAGCCTGCGCCGCTCCCCCCCTCCCCCCCGCCCTAGCCGGGGCTCCTGAAGTGAGGTGTCCGCTGGAGGGCAGTCCTGCTTCGTGTGACTCTGGCCGCACGTCCCTGGGGGCCACCACGTGGAAGGCTGGAGTCCAGGGCCCTGGAACCCCCAGCCTTTGTGGTCCCTGCGGTCAGGTGGCCGCCATGGGCGGGGCTGCCCGAAGGTCCCTCCTGGGGCTCCGCACTGTCCCTCCCAGCCCTGCCCTCCCAGGCACCACCTCCCTGGGCTGGGGGGCCTGTGCGCCTGCTGAGAGAGCTGGGGGCCGCGGGAGCTGGGTTTGCGCCCTCACCTCGGCTGCTCGCCTCCTCTAGGTGGTGGAAGTGGGGCACTTCTGGGGGTACAGGATGGACGAGAGGAACGCGGCGCTTCTGAAGAAGCTCAGCGCCGAGATCAACCGCCTGAAGCTGCTGCCCCTGGCCGTGCACCCGCACCCCGACCTGGTCTGCCTGGCGCCGTTCACCGACGCCGACGCGCCACGCTACTTCCGGGCGCAGATCCTCTACGTGTCCGGGGGCTCGGCCGAGGTGCGCCACCTGCCACGGCCCCGGGCCAGACGGGCCCGCAGGGCCCTCCCTGACTCGGGGTGGAGGCTGAATGTGGCGCGTTCACGGTCGGAAAGGCCATCTGGGGGCGGGGGGAGACCCGCCCCTCCGTGACCTGCAGCGGCGGCGCCGCCTCCGCCGACGCGGCGCCGCCTCCGCCGACACGGCCCCGCCCCCCCGCCAGGTGTTCTTCGTGGACTACGGGAACAAGGCCCGCGTGGACCTGCGCCTTCTGATGGAGGTGCCCAGCCACCTGCTCGAGCTCCCCTTCCAGGTGCGGCGGCGGCGGCCGGGGGGCTCCGTGTGGCGTGGGCGCGGCGCGGGCTGGTCCTGGTGGCTGGGGGCTTGTCTGCCACGCCCGCCAGGTTGGGTGCCCGCTCTTCTCCAAAACTGGCACTGCCGGAGGTGCTTCCGCCAGCGCGGTGCTGGGGTGAGCGGGGACCCGTGGAAGCAGACGGGCTCGGGGTGGGTCTGAGCCTCAGGGCCTCGGAGCCTCCCCTTCGAGCGAGGGCGGGGCGGGGTTGCTGGGGGCAGCCGCAGGTGCCCCCCACCCCCAGCTCCCCCAGCAGCCCCCGCGGGCCGCAGTGGGGCGGGCGCGCTGGGGAGGGCAGGGCGGCCCGCCTGGCTGTGGCGCCTGCGCGGACCGGCGTGCCCCGCCCTCTGCCCGCAGGCGCTGGAGTTCAGGGTCTGCAGGCTGCGCCCCTCGGCCCGGTCGCTGGTGTGCGGGGAGCACTGGAGCAGCGGGGCGGGCCGGCGCTTCGCCGCCCTGGTCAGCGGCCGCGCGCTGCTGGTCAAGGTCTTCTCCGTGGTGCACAGCGTGCTGCACGTGGACGTGCTCCTGCCCTCGGGGCCGCAGGAGGTCACCAACGTCAGGGACGTGCTCATCGACGAGGGCCATGCCGAGCTGGCGGAGGAGTGCTATGAGTCCCGGGTGCGCGGGGGGGCCCCCAGTGCGGTGGGGGGGGGCCTGACACGGGGAGGGGGGCCGGGAGAGCTGCATTCCCGGTGTCAGGAAGCTGTTTTTCCTTGTGATGGAGGAGATTCGATGTGAAAATGGTCTCCTTTGGGGGGAGGCGTTTTTGAGGCGTTCGCAGCTCTGGCTCCCCAGGGTAAGTAAGGAAAGATCTGCTACGGGCGCCTCAGACGTCTCTAAGTGTGTGTGAGCCGCTGCTTTCAGCATCCCTCCGCAGCTGCGTCGTCGTTTGGTCTGCAGCTTGGAGACGCTGCTCCTGAGGCCTCGAGGGCCGGCGGTGGGGGTGGGCCGGGCTCGGCGGGTGGGCAGGCGAACGAGGTCGCGGCTGAGTGGTGTTCCCACGAGGGGGCGCACCTCCGGGTCCAGGGGACGGTCCCCGGGTGAAGCTGGGCATGTTCATGAAAGTTCCTGGGAACGGTCCTCACGCCCGGTTCCCCGACGGCCGAGAGGCGCTGAAGGCAGTGAGGGGAGCCCTCGGGGCGCCCGTCCGACTTCCGCTGGAACCCCAGACGCGCCTGACAGACCCGTCTCCTGACACCCGAGTCCCCGGAGGCCAGCTGGGGAGGAGGCCGCACCCGAGGAACGCTTGGTTACTTCGGAGGGAAGGGCTTTCAGTGCGGTTGTTGGACGTGTTCCTTGTGCTCTGTTCCGCTACCGTCTGGTCCTCCTGCGCCCTTCCCCCGCCCGCAGTCCCCACACGGCTGTCCGAGCCCACGAGTCCTTTTTTTCCCTTCTCCCGGTCCCTCTGTGTCCCCCCTTCCCCCCGCTCTTCCATCAGCTCTGGAGCAGCCGTCACCTGCTGCCCGGCCGCGATCCTGTCTCCATCTCGCTTGTCAGCTCAGTCTGCCCGTCAGACCCCCCGTGTGGGGGAGCCCACGTGGTGTTTGTGTTTCCCCGACTGGCGGGTTTCACTCAGCATAACAGCATTCTTCACGTGCATCCGTGTTGCCCATAGAGTCCAACTGTCGTCTTTTGATGGCTGAGTGGCGCCCTGTGGTGTGAACATCCCACAGTTGCTCTATCCACTCATCCACTGACGGACACTTGGGGAGGCTTGCTTTTCTTTTTTTTGTCTTGTTTTGCTCTTTTCAGTGAAAGGAACTTTTCTTATTCTCTTCAGCAAAGCCACGAAGTCCTCACGAGCCTGTTTTCCAAAGCGGCAGGAGGTGTGGCTGACGCGTGTGCGCCGTCCCCGGGGATGGACCGGGAGAAGCACCTGATCCGGGTCTTGCTGGACAGCTTCTCGTCCAACAAGCTGGGGACCCCGAGCCACAAGGTGCTGGCCTCAGCGCGCTCTGCTGACGCCTGTGCGGGCCGCACTCGCGCCGACCTCTGGTCCCCGGGCCGGGCTCCCAGGCCGGGCGGCCACGGCCGAGGGAGGGGAGAGGCCCCCGGGTGTGTCCTGGAGAGGCGCTCGGGCGGCCGGCCTGTGTGTCGGGGACGGAGGCGGTGCAGGCCCGGCCCCCCCCACGCACCCCAGCCGCCTGTGTGGGCGGGGCGCCGGCTGGCGCATCCCCCAGGGGCTGGCCACGGACCCCGGGGGCCGACAGGGACTCTGGGGGGCTTGTGGGGGGGGAGAGGCTGGTGGGCCGCCAGTCCCGCAGAAGCCCCTTCTTCAAGGCCCACGTCCTCGCCGGGTCTCCAGGGCCCGCGGATGAGCTGCGGCTCCTTCCCGTCGTGGGCACGGCAGCCGGCTCTGGGGCTCTGCACGTGTTGCGTGGTGCGCGCTCCCCGGTGACGCCGGCATGTGTGTGCGCAGGCGGTGCTGCACGGGCCTTTCAACCCCTACGAGCTGAAGTGCCACAGCCTGACCAGGGTCTCCAAGTTCAGGTACGGCCCACGCGGGCTCCCGGGGTGCGCGGCTCGTCAGAAGCCAGCCTCGCGCTGGGGCCCGTGGGCGCATATGCTGCCTTCTCCAGCTGCTGCCGGCTTCTCCCCTCCCCCGTCCGACGGCCATTGCCTTTCCTCCCGGACCCCTCCTCTGTTCTCCACCCTTCCTGGTCCTCAGGGCCTGTGTGGGGGGGACCACTCCGGTCCCCTCTGCCCTCCCTCGGGTGGCCTGCCTGGGGTGCAGGGGTGGCCAGCACGCGCTGGGAGGAGGATTGGGGGAGGGGGAGCCTGGGGCCTTGTCAGCACGCCGCCGGGACTGGCGGCCAGGGAGTGGCGGGCGTCACACGCAGCCTGGGGGACCGCAGCCCTCTCCGCCGGCGCCTTGCAGGCGTGTGTGGATTGAGAAGGAGAGCATCAACTCGGTGGCCATCAGCGACACCCCGGAGGACCTCCACCAGAGGATGCTGGTGGCCGCGTCCCTGTCGGTCAACGCCACCGGTGAGCGGGGAGCGGGGCCGTCTGTCTGCTCGGGCAGGGTCTTCCCCGCCCCCGCCGCCCCGCCCGGCCCCAGTCCCCGGGCACCCTGCGTCCCTCCCGCAGGACTGGCCGGGCCAGGTGTGAGCCTGCGGAAGCGGGCTCCTTGCTCCCTCGTGCCCGCGCCCCACCGCGCTGGGCTACAGAGGGGCACCAGCCCGAGTTCTTGCTCCTGGTCAGACCGGACAGCTGGGAGACGGACGTGGGGTTGAGCGTGGTGAGGGTGCCTCTGTCTGCAGGGCGCTGTGGGCACGGACAGCAGGGGGCGTCCTGCTGTCGGGCCGTGTGTGGGGCCAGGCCAGCGGGGGAGGGGTTGAGGGGTGGGGGCCTGCGCGGGGCGAGCTGCCTGTGGACCTGGCCCCGCCCTCCTGTCTGGCAGGGTCCACCATGCTGCTGAGAGAGACCTCCCTGCTGCCGCACGTGCCCGGGCTGCCGGCCCTGCTCAGCATGCTGTTCGCCCCGGTGATGGAGCTGCGGTGCGCACGGCGGGCCGGCACGACTTCCTCGGGGGGATGGGGACCGGGGGCGGGAGCGCGGGGCTTGACACGCGGTGCAGGAGCCGGCCGAGACAGGGTTGGGCCCTGGCCCGAGGGCCTGGTGTGCACAGTGCCAGAGGCCGCCGCAGGCGCCCTGAGCAGGGCAGACGGTGCGGGAGCTGCTGCCCGCTGTGGGTCGTGGGCCGGAGGGGGCGGGCGGGGTGGGGCTTGCTGGGGAGGCGGGCGGGGAGGGGGGTGGCACAGCCAGGTGGCGGAGAGCGGGGGCCTGGGGATGCCTGGAGAGACGGGGCACGGGGTGCCTGCCGCCGTGTGTGCGTGTGCGTGTGGGGCACTCAGACGCCAGGTGAGCTCTGGCCGAGCGCTGGGCCCCCTGCTGGGTGTGCAGCCGCGGGAGCTCGGGGCGGGGGGAGCCACGTGCCCAGAAACGCCCTCAGGTTGTGGCGTCTGCGGCCGCGGGAGGGCGGGCCCAGGGGCGGGGCGGCGGAAGCACTCACACACTCACGTCACGGCCGCTCGCAGCCCGTCACCTCTGACCCAGAACTGACCGGCCGAGAAGTCGCCAACGCGGGGTGAGCTGCTGGGCCCCGGCCGGCTCCGCTCCCTTCGCAGGGGCGGCCGGCGGGCTCCGGCGTGCCAGCCCCTCCCCCGCTCTCCGTGCAGGGTCGACCGTGCCGGGAAGAGCTACACGGGGGTGCTCTGCGGCCTGGGCTGGAGCCCAGCCACCGGCGCCCCCGTCCTGCCGGAGCACGACATGGAGCTCGCCTTCGACGTGCGGTTCAGCGTGGAGGACGTCGTGGAGGTGAGGCCGCCGCGTGCCCCGGGCGGCGGGCGTTCCCCGCTCCGGGTCCGGGGTGGCTGCTTGGACACCCATCGGCCCACCAGCGCGCACGTGCCCTGGACCCTGGGGGGCTTGTGGCCACCGCGCGGCCCCTCTCACGGAGGCACAGCAAGCTCCCCTGGCCGAGGGACCGAGTGCCTGGACGGCTGTGGGCCTCTCACCCCGTCCCCGACCCCGTCCAGGGCCGGCCTGCAGTGCGTGCTGCTGGCTCACGTGGGGGGGAACCGGGGCCGTCCATCTGTCTGTCTGTCCGTGCGTCTGTCCGTGCTGCTCCCCTGGGAAGGCTCGGACCAGAGTCGCCCTGGCGAGCCCTGGAGGGAGGCACCCCTCGGGCCCCCTGCTGGCGTCACGCGGCGAGGGGGGGCGCCCACGGCCGACCAGGCCACAGTTTGAGGGAGAGGCTCGGGAGGGGTGCGGGTGCCGGCTGCAGAGTCAGAAACGGTCTTGCTGGTTTTAACTCGCCCCTGTCACGGCCTCTGAAGGTGTGCGGGCGGCTGACGGGCTCGTGTTGCCTCCGGGACCCGCCCGGAGGCCGTGTCGCCGCGCCGGGAGCTCCAGGCGCTCCCGAGTGGTGTGGCCGTGGGGCGGCGTGTGGCCCGCGGGCCCTGAGCGCACGTCTGGCGTCCGTTGCAGATCAACATCCTCAGGGCCGCGATCAACAGGCTGGTGTGCGACGGCCCGAATGGGTCCCGGTGCCTCGGGCCGGAGCGGGTCGCGCAGCTGCAGGACAGCGCCCGGCAGAAGCTCCTGGGGTGAGTGCGTGGCGCCGGAGGGGCCGGGGCGGGGGCGGACGCTGCAGGGACGCCCCAGGCCCCGAGCAGGCGCTCCAGGGGCACCCTCCCGAGGGCTGATTCGAGGAAAACGGGGCACAGGGACCCTTGTGGAGAGCACGGCAGCGCCCACTGGTAGGGCCGGGGAGGGTGGGGCCTGCAGGCTGGGCGCCTGGCCTCCCAGGAGGGAGGCTGGGAACAAGCACCGGACCCTCCACCCCTGGTTGGGTCCCTCACGGCCAGGCTCAGCCGGGTCTGGGGCCCGGAGCCCAGGCCAGCTTGGCCGGCTCAGAGGAGGTGGGGAGGGCCCGTGGTCTCGGGGAACGGGGCTCCAGAGGGCACCCAGGCCCGCCGGCCTGCTACCTGTCGCCTCACAGCTCCCCGAGGCAGCTCCCGCCCCCCCAGCTGGGTCCTGAGCCTCAGGGACCGGAGCCGAGTGGGAGCAGGCGCCCCAACGTTGGGGTGACTTCCTGCCCCGCCCCGGGTGGGCTGCCCCGGGGGCATGGGCGCTGGAGGATGGCGTTCGGGGTGTGAAGCCGTCCGGGCGCTGCGGGAAGGGCTCGCTGAGTTTTCCCTCCCCGCCGTCCTCCGTGGAAGTGCTTCTGTGTGAGACCATGTGGACGCGCGGCACCCGAGGGTGCTCAGGCCCAGTCGGTGCGTGTGCCTGAGGCGGACGGCCCGGGCTGTCCCGGATGAGACACAGAGCCCCCACTCCACTCCCCAGCACTGACCCGGGATGGGGGCCTCTGGGTAGCTGAGGGAGACTCGGAACCGTCCACGGCGGGTGCGGGTGCGGGTGGGAGGAAGAGCCCTCTGGCCGCAGCTGCCCTGTGTTGTGGCCGCGCGGACCCAGGGTGGCGGCAGGGCTGGGGCACGGTGCGCGGGGGCCAGGGTTTCCAGTTCCCAGCCCGTCCCTGGGACGAGGTAACTCCTTGAAACCGCAGACTGTTCTGCCAGCTGAAGCCGAGGGAGAGAGTTGCCCCCCGGTGGCACGAGAGGCCGTATGAGTGGGGCCAGGTGAGTGGGCCGCGGGCGGCAGGGGGCTCGGAGAGCGGGGGGCGTGGGAGTCGACGGGTGGCCCTGCCGTCGGGGGGGGGGGGAGGGGGCGCGGACCGGCGGGGGCGGGGGCGCGGACCGGGCGGGCTGTGGCGGACAGCGCACCCACGTTGCGCCGCGGCCCCGCGGGGCTGGGTGCAGCAGGCAGGGCGTCTGGCCCGCTTGGCTGTCCGTGCAGCCTGCAGGGCAGCCACGAGGACACTGTGTCCACCGGGTGGCTTGTGCAGCGGCGGGGTGGGGGCCAGCTCCTGCTGGGCCGAGGGCCTGCTGTGGCAGGGAGAGGAGCTCCCGTCTCCCCCTCCTGAGAGGGCACGCCCCCGGCACAGGGCCCCTCACAGCCTCCTCTGGCCCTGGTCCCCTCCTGGCAGCACCTCCGTGGGGGCCGGAGCCTGGGCCTGTGCGCCTGGGGGCGCGGGTCAGCCCACAGCAGTGTGGACTGGGGCCGGGCCTCCTGGGGTGCCCTCACGCCCCTGCTCCCCGAGGCCTGAGGGCTGAGTGAACTGTGACTTCCGGGAAAGGGTGGGGTGGGGTGGGGTGGGGTGGGGGGGCTCCTAAGCTTTAATTCTAGACCCGGGGACGGCCTCGGATATGAAGCCGCTGACGGCCCTTTCTCCTCTTCCGGCCATTCGGTGGGCGTGTCCTCCTAGCCGTGCTCGCGGCGGCACACCCGCGTTCCGGGCCCAGGGCTGGCTCCCCTCCTCGGCACCCTCGGGACCCAGCCTGGGGCCAGCTCGGCGGTGGCAGCTCTGCGGGGTGGCCGCAGGCAGGGCCAGCCCTGTGGGGCCTGCTGAGCGGGGATCGTGGGGGTGTGGGGGGGCGGCGAGCGCAGAGACGGCCGGTCAGCTCCGACGGCCCATGCTGGGAGAGCGGGGAGGCGCCCTGCAGTCCGTCGGGGGCACGGGGCCTCCTGTGGGCGTCTTGTCCCCCACCCGGCACCGAGCCTGACGCGTCCCCCGTCCCGCAGGTGGACCCCAAGCTGGTCATGGAGCAGGCGGAGCGGGAGGGCGGCCGAGGGAGGAACACGGCGCTCTACCAGCTGCACCGGCCCGTCGTGCTCAGCCCCTAGCGCCGCCGCCGCGGCCCCACTGTGGGGTCCGGCGGGGGCTGGACCGAGGGCCTTCTTCGCTGGGAGGGGCCGGGAGGCCGGGTCTCCTCCAGGGCGGAAGGTCCCTGTGTCGAGTGCCGCTCTGATCAGAGCCGCGAGCTGCCCCAGGCGTCCGGGCCACGCCCCCGTGCACTCTTGGTGCCGGCGACTTCACTGGCCGCCGGGGCAGCTCTGCCAGGCGGAACCACGGGGCTTCTCTGGCTCTTTCCTCACGCGGGAAGGGGTCTAGTTCTGGCCAAGCCAAGTTCAGTTTTGTGTGCTTTAGGTTTTACTCGTTAGCGTTCTCAGTGCGCAGTGTGGGAACCAGAGAGACCGCCTGGCAGCTGGGGCGCCCGTTGAGACAATAAAAGTGTGACGTAGCAAGGGCAGCGAGAGCGTCACTTCCTGTGTCTGACCGTTCTGAGCCGCGGGGCTGGGGTGTGCGCTGCCCTGGGAGCCCAGATGGGCACACCCGGTGGAGGAGCAGAGAGGCCCCCCCACGGCCGCTCCTGGCGGGAGCGCAAAGCCGGGGACCAGGGCGGCGGAAGAGGCCAAGACGGCGAGGAGGCCCACGCAACACACGGGGTCCGGGGTCCCCGGGACAGCTCCGGCCTCGGCTGCCCCGGGGGCCTGGCAGGCGGAGGCCCCACCTCGGGGGTGTCAGTGTGGGGGTCCCCGGGCGAGGGCCAGGGGGCAGGGGCACGCTCCTGGGGGCCGCGCCCATGACCCACACAGCAGGTCCAGGCAGCTGGCGTTCCGGCCCTGGCTCAGCTCAAACTGCACAGTCGGCGTGAACAGTCCACGCACACGGAGCCACCTCGTCGGGGACTTTGTGGGAGCCCTCCTGATGCCTGCCGAGGGCCAGCCTCGCAGGCAGGCCTGCCGCCGCACCCCTCGTCTGCACGGTCTCGGGGACCCTCTGCAGGGATGGGCCACGGTGGACCCCGAGCGGCACGGGTGGAACCTGCACTGGCCGCAGACGTGCAGGTTTCCCGTGGACACCAGCACCTGTGCCTCGCCCGTGGTTGGACGCCCGCGGGCGCCGAGGCCTGGTTGCGAGCCCTGCCGGACTCAGCCTGAGCATCCGTGGGTTTCGGGGCCCCACGGGGGGTGGGGGCAGGGAGCGGGACATGGTCCCAGCACCCCTTTGCTGAGAGACTGAGGGTCGGCCAGGGCTCGGGGGCGTCCAAATCACACGCAGGTGTGAGGCTGCGCACGTGGGGTCAGTGCCCCAGCCCCACGCCCACCCGCCTGGCTTCGGCAGGGCTCCTGGGCACGAGCCGAAGACAGAGCCAGCTTCTGCAGCCATCTTCAGCTTGGAGAGGGTGTGATGGTGGGAGCCACCCAGGCACAGGGGCAGAATTGGGGTCCCCTCACCCACAGCACCACCCGCCAGCCCATCCCCGGACTGCCTGCCCCCGGACGGGGGGCTTGTGTGTGAGAGAGAAATTGCCTTTGTAAAGCCTTTTTTTGTTTTTGGTCTGTTACAGGCAGTCAAAAACATGGTTGCTGTTTGATACAGTATAAACTTTTTAAAAGACTTTATTTATTTTAGTGAGGAAGGGGGGGAGAAAGGGAGAGAAATGTTTGTGTGTGGTTGCCTCTGGCACACCCCCTACTGGGGGCCTGGCCCTCAACCCAGGCGTGTGCCCTGACTGGGAATCGAACCAGCCACCCTTTGGTTCACAGGAGGCATTCCGTCCACTGAGCCACACCAGCCAGCCAGGGTGATACAGTGTATACTTTTCAGAAGGCAAGAGAACACACGCTCAGTTGGCTGCTGGGTTGCAGAAGGGGCACTGAAAGTCCTGAGAGGGGTCCCAGGCAGATGGACACGGCTCCCTCCGATGGTGTGTCTGAGCTCAGGGCACCTGCCTGAACTCGGCGCAGCTGGGCCGCGGCTCGGCTCCCGGAGGGTCGAGCTCCCTCGGGAAGGAAGCGTGGCGGTTTCCAGGCCACCCCCGCTCTCTACTGTGAAGGTGACCCCCCCCCCCCCCGCGCCAGCTCACAGAAGACCCCCACCCGGTCCCACCACGGCAAGTGAGGACCCAGACGCCAGCGCAGGGGCCGATTGTGGCGCGCCCGGGCGGGCGGATGGACAGACTGACGACGGGTGCAGGGGTGCAGAGGTGTGGGGCGTGCCCCGGGTTGCGCTCTGCACTCGCCTCGAGTGGCGGAAGCTGTCACGGGGCGTTCCCGGGGGAGGGTCTGCTCCCGTGAAGCAGAGAAACGTCACTACCAACAGAAGCAACACCGCCCTGGGGGTTCTTTAGGGGAACCCTAGAGGCTGTGCTTGTGAAGACCTGGAGCTCGAACCTGCAGAGCGTCTCCCCCGCAACGGTTCCCTGCTTAAGCCATCTTCCAGGACGCGCTCCTCGCGCTCGGCTCCCCAGACGGTGCCAGTGCGGGAGCGCCCCTTTCCCGGTCGGCGGGGAGACGTCAGCGGCGGGGGCACACTGCCACCCAGCGGGCGTCCCTGGGAACGGCAGGGCTCGGCTCCGCGGCAAAACCGAGTTTTCTCCTGCAGCTCGCAGGCAGGCCACCGCTTGTAGGGAAAACGTTACACCTGGGGGCGGGGGGGGGGGGGGGCGGGGGTTGGAAACACTGACGAGAAATTTTGACGGCAGGACTTGGATCCCTGTAGAAGCACTTTAATAAGCAATCTGGAGAGTTTTACGTGTTTGCATGTTACTGGTTGGCGGTTTATTCCAGAGCGACTTTCACTTTAATGTAAAACAGAGACGTCAGCAGGTCTTCCTGGGTCCCCTCCTTTTCCATGCAGCTCTAAATCGGGGTTCTCTCCCCTTCTCCGGTCGCGTGAGGCCTAGGTGACGCACAAGGCCGCACCGCAGCTCGGTGGGCCCCGGCGGACCCACGCCGCGCAGCCGCCGCCGTCAGCCCGCGTCCATGGGCGCGGCAGTTCCCGCCGGGCGCCTGCGTCCTGGTCCCGCGCCCCGCGGGCTCGTGCCCGCTGCCGCACGCGTGCACGGGAACAGGGTCCCGCGGCACGTCCCCCTTCCCGCCAGCTGCCCTCGGTGCACGCCGGGTTTCTTCGTTCCCTCCCTGCCCTCCTGCCGAAGGGCTTCGCACGGGCCCTCGGTCTGCGCACCGTGAACAGAGCTGCTGCGAGCAAGCCTGGACAGACGCATTTTCTCTCGGTAGCGCCCGAGAGGCGGGATTTCTGGGTCCGCCGGTAGGGGGCGGTGCAGCTCCACAGGAAACGAGCTCATCTTCCAAAGTGACGGGTGGACCGCTCCCTGCTAGTGGCAGCCTTGCCACTGCGCCCCCGGCCCACCCTGTGCGGCCCCTGGTTGCGCGGAGCCTGCAGACTCCGCTGCGTCCCCGGGGGCGGGCAATGCCAGGCCTTGCCGGCAGAGGGCACTGCAGCGGGGGTGGGGGTCCTCTGCACCTCACGTGTCCTGCGGAGTTGGGGGGGGCGGTCTTTGTTCACTCGGGATGCAAGTCCTTGTCGAACCTGTCTTGTCCATCTTGCCTGCTGTGGGGAAACACAGAATTTACCGTCTCAAACCGTTTTAAGTATTTTTTCCCACTCTGTTGCGTCCTGGATGCACAAAATTTTAAAAGTTTGCCTGGCTGGCATAGCTCAGTGGATTGAGTGTGGGCTGCGTGTGAAACAAAGGGTCACTGGTTCGATTCCCAGTCAGGGCACATGCCTGGGTTGCAGGCCACGGTCCCCAGTGGGGGGGGGGTCACATGAAGGGCAGTCACACAGTGATGTCACTCTCCCTCTTTCTCCTTCCTGTCCCCTCTCTAAAAATAAATACACTCTTAAAAAATAAATAAAGTTTGATGCCCCAGTTGTCCACTTTTGATTGTGTGGCCTGTGCTCCTGGCGCCACGCCCAGTACATCACCCCCAAGTCCGGGGCAGGAACGCTGGGCACAGCCGGCTGCCAACAGACGCTTCCGGAGCGGAGCCCGAATCGGAGCCACGGAGACGCCAAACCAAGCCCCTCGCGGCTGGAGAGCGGAAACCCGGTGGAGGGAGCCGGGCGCTTCTAGGCTGGCACAGGAGTCCGCCAGTGGGGAGTTCGGGGGTGGCTCCCAAAGGGGGGCTGTGGCCACAGGCCCGGGCCGAGCTGGGGCCCTCAGGGAGAAGCGGGGGTGGGGGGCAGACACAGGCCACAGAGCCGGACAGTGGCTGAGCACGCAGGCGGGGCGGCGGCGGGGCTGAGTTGTGCCCCACAGTCACGTGCTGCGGCCCCGGCCCAGCACTCTGGCCGCCACTGGGCTTGGAGAGGAGGTTCATGCCGGGGAGTCTGAATCCGGCCCGGCAGGTGACCTTGGGGGGCCAGATTTAGCCAGACACGGGGAGTCCCGAGCAGAAGGAAGGCCACCTGCGGGGGCCTCAGGTGGAGCCGGGCCTGCCCAGGCCTGGACCGCGGAAGTCGGGCCCCAGGACGGAGTCTGTATCGGATAAGCAGCCGGTCTGTGGTCTCCATGCTGTGGCCCTGGGAGACTGGCACAGGCCCCGCCCCGCCCTGCCCCACCCCACCCCGGACAGACTCAGTTCGCCGGGGGGCAGAGAGCCTTACCGTGTGGCCAGTGCCGAAGTCGCTGGCCTGGAGTCACAGGCAGATGAAGAGGGGCCCTTTCTAGAGACGACGCCAGTCTCTGGAGCATGTCATGGCCCCCACGCGGTCCCTTTGGCCTCTGGGCGCTGGCGCCCAGACAGGCCCGCGGGGTCCGGGTCCGTCCACACTGAGCCTGTGCCGGGGCTTTCTTCGTGGGCTCTCGCCCTGGGGGTCCGGGCCCTTCTGAACGGGGCGCAAGGGGCGGCCTGGGGTCTCTGCCCACCCTCCGCCACCCCAAGGAGTGGACACCGAGGCTGGGCAACAGCACTGGCTCTGCTGAGACGCCGGCGTCTGGCGGGCGCCTGGGAGCCGAGGGCGGCCCACGACGCGTGGGGTGTCCGGCACCACGGTGGGCAAGGCACGTGGTCCTGGCGCCCTCGTTTAAGACCCCCCAACACCTGGCGGGCGCCACAGACCCCGCGAGGCTCAGGCCCCGCCCCTTTGGGGTGTCCCCTCCCCCGCCGCGGGTGCCTCCATAGCCCCGCCCCACACGGGTCTCCACCGGCGCTGCCCCCAGG